AACCTCCCTAGGCCCATTTTCCCCTGTGCCTCTCCAACATGAGACCCTGAGGATCATTTGGGTTCCTGCTCAACCCAAAACATTATGTGAATCTTAAGGTTCCATTTTTATTTTTAACCACTGGCCCTTCTGATATCTCTGAGCAGCACACCTACCTCTGATAATCTTGGTGAAATGACATACAGAAGACCAACTTCTCACTGTATATCACAGAGGCCAGGTCCTCTCTGTTAGCATCCTTTTGCCCCCAATATTGAAAATTTTGAACACCTGTGATTCTATGTGGACTTCATCACACTCTGTGCCCTTACCCTTCCCCATCATGGCATTGCCCCTCTTGTTTCTCAGGATGAGTCTTTTCCTGTGCCCAGTATTGACTCTCAGGTCATCCATTCCCCTTCCGTACTACTCTTGCTCTCTCATCCATTCATTATTTGTTGGTTTGAGTCCTCTCTATAGAGGACCCAGTGCCTACCAGCACCAGTGTATGCCCAGGAACACAGCAAGGAACAGAACGAAGAAGGCAGCTGTCACAGAGAAGCATCCCAGCTAGAGGAGTTGGAATGTGAGCAAGTACTTAAACTGAAGTTAAACAATTTGATGTAGTGAAGGCAGATATGAAAACTAGAAATGGAAATGGGGTTCAGAAGTTTCCGTCAGTGGAGATGTGCAGGAGCTGGTTTAGAAGAGGGACCGGGGCATGCCATTCAAGGGTGAGGACATTCGAGACAAGGCTGAGATGATAAGAAACACTTCAGGATAAGGGCATGTCATATTGGGTACAAGGGTTATGATAATATTAATAATGGAGTGCTTGGTGAGTTTAGAGGTTATTTGTTTTCTATTTATGTGTACCTAGAATGTTGTGGACAACACAGAGAGTTGTCAGCATCTATGAGAAGACAACCAAGGATTAGGACCAAAGATTTGCTACACCATGAGTAGGATTCTAGATTGTGTTTTAGGACAGTAAAATGATATGGGAAGGCTTTGAGATAGGAAAGCACAGTCATGCATCTATAGGCTCTGAGTGAATGGATTCCTCCAGTCATGGGTTAAAAATATTCAGGAGAAAACAATGTGTTTAATAAAATGTATATAGTTTCTTTCCTTTTATTATTATATTTATTTGCATGTGTGTGTCTGTGTGTATGTTTGTGAGTGGGTCTGTGTGTGTATTTTCGTGTGTGTGTGTGTGTGTGTACTTGTGCATGCGTGTACTCACATCACATAGTGCATGTGGAGATCAGAGAACAACTTTTGGAGCCTATTCTCTCCTTCCACCATGTGTGTTCTGGCCATCAGCTTTGATATCAAGTGCTTTTATCCACTGATCCATTCCAATGGCCTAACATTTTTCTTGATACCCTCCAAACAATATAGTATAGCAACTACGGTGCACAATTGCATTAGTTATTGTAAGTAACCTGGAGATAATTTAAGGGGGGCAGATTACGTACAAACTCAATTCCATCTTATAGAATGGCCTTGTGCATCTACAGAGTTGAGTATCTATAGTTCCTGAAACCAAGCACCTGTGCTCACCAAAAGACAAATCTTTATGACCTTGTGAAATACAGACTGCTATGTCAACTTCTTTTTTTAAAAGAACGATCATATGGTTCACTGGTCATTTTCTCATCACTGCAACAAAATACCTGACATGGGCAAAATAAGAGAGAAAAGAATCATCCTGACTCATGGTTATACAGGAGTTGTAACATCACGGCAGGAGGGTAAGGTAGAGTAGAACTCACCTGTGTTGGTTGGGAAGCAAAAAGACAGAATACCAGTGCTACAAGACTTTCTCCTCTCTCTTTTAGTCCATCCAGCCCATGCACCATGTGATGGTTTGCCCTCCTTAGCTAAGCCTGTTGGGGAAGGCCCTCCTAGACAGAGTCAGAGTGTGACTTTCTAATCTCCTAGGTGCTCTAATCTCCTAGGCTGGCAGTCAAGATAAATCATACCCATAGCCTCATATGTCAGCAATAAGAACTTAATAATTACAACATGGGAAAGATCAAGCCAATACCAGCAAGACAACTAAATACTGGTCACAACGAGGAAGGGATACCTTACTGTGTTAAGTGAGTTAAAAAGCTCTAAGAACAAGGGCTGGAGAGATGATTTGCAGTTAGAAGCACTTGTTACTTGTCCAGAAGACCCAGGTTTGATTCCCAGCAGTTGTGTGGCTGTTCACAACTGTCCCTGTAACTCCAGTTTCAAGGGATCTGGCTCCCTCTTCTGGCTTCTATAGGCACTGCATACACACAGTGCACAGATGCACATGCAGACAAAACACCCCCACACATAAAATAAAGTTTAAATTTAAAGGGACATTTCAGAACAAGACCAGATGTACTGGCAGGAACTTACGGTACTTACAAATGTGGCAGACTGCCGGAAGGAAACAGCAGAAGAACAAAGAGACCAACTGCTCTGATTTCCAACAGAGATGGGGAAGTGGCTTATGAGAACTGGGAGCAAGTACATTTCCCAAAACTTCAAGACTTACCAAAGGAACACTTAAATGCTGCTGGCCAACCATCAGAACAGGATGTCCACAGAGTAAAAAAGGCCCTTGCATCAAGCCTGATTCCCTGAGTTCCATACACAGGATCCACTCGGTGGAAGGAGAAAACCAAGGTGTCTTCAGACCCCCATACACATGTGTATGGGACACACATCTGCCCATACACATACACATATGTACACACAAAACAAGTAAGTAAATTGCAATCAAATTTTAATGTGAGGCATTGACTCTGCTTCTTTCCTTCAGATTACTATAAATCTAATTATTGTCTTTTATTCTAAATTCTCAAAGTGTATCATGCTATATGTGTGCAAGTAGGAAAATGTGTTTGAGTCTCTGTGACAGAGCTACTGTACTTTAAAAAAAAGTAAGCCAGGGTGCCATTTTAGGAACATGCCAGGACCTACTGTTTTGTTTTTTATCTGTTCATTTGCTAAAAACTTTGTCTGTAGATTAAGTGATTTTGTTTTTCCCCCTTTTTTCTTCTCTTATACATTACATCCCCACTGCAGTTTCCTCTCTCTGAACCCCTCCCAGTCCATCCCCCAATTCTTCTCTTCCCCAGATCCACTCCTCCTCTGTTTCCCTTCAAAAGAAAGATCCCTTCGAAAGAAAGAAAGGAAAGAAAGAAAGGAAGGAAAAAAGGAAGGAAGGAAGAAAGAAAGGAACAGCTTTCTCAGGGATATCAGCCAAACATTGCCTAACAAGTTACAAAAAGCCTAGGCACAAATCAAGGCTGAATGAGACAACCAGTAGAAGGAAAAGGGTCCCAATCACTGGCAAGAGAGTCAGAGGCTCACCCCACTCCCACTTTTGGGAGTCCCACAAGAACACCAAGCTGCATAACCATAAGGTGATAGCCTAGCTTAGACTCATACAGGATCCGTGATTCTCGCTTCAGTCTCTGTGAGCCACTATGAGCCCTGCTTAGTTGAGTCTGAGGGCTGCATTCTTGTGGTGTTCTCTGCCCCCACTGGCCCCTACAGTCCTTCCTCCTCCTCTTCTGCGGGGTTCAGATGAAGTGATTTTCATGCCTGCAAATGGAATGAAACTTAAGCAGGAAGACTTATTCCATGGTGAAATGAAACTCAATAAAAATATTAACAGAATTTGAAGGCTGAAACTAATGAATCCTAACAGTAATTGCCAAGTTTCATAACAAAATTTCTCAAATTCTATGCACAAAATAACTCTGCAACAAGTCAGGTGAAAAATACTTCAGCTTTTAACTGAAGATGAGCCCGATATGGAGGATGTGCTGCTCACATGAATTTTAAGTTACAGAATTCACACGAGTCCAGAGAACTGCCTTAAACACCAGAAGGGGTTACGTTGCAAAGAGTCAGCGGTCACAACAAGAAAGTCCAAGCTCACTCATCAGGGATGTTCCTCACTAGCTCATGAGTTGGAAAAAAAAATGTTGCTAAAGTCAATTTTGAAGACCTCAGGGGGCTGATACTCAACACAAGATGGCGTTTATGACCCCGTGGCTCTCTGCCCAGGAAGAAACCTGATTGGGGATCATCTGTGACTCTGTGTGCGACATCTTAGTACGGAGAATTTCCTGCGTACAGTTCATTTGCAGTCAGCTGTTCCTCTGCTTTCCCTTTGGAAACATCAGTGTTAAGTCCCCCTTTCAGCAACAGAGCAGGAGAAAAGAGGGCCGGGGCTGGGGCCAGGATTTCCCTTCGATTCCAAGCATACCTAATCCGTTAAATCAACTCGAGTTTATAACTGCGTATAAAGGTTCAGGTTTCCCTTCCAGAAATAGGGTGGGGAATGCTCAGCAGCTGCTAGGACTAGGGAGTGGCTAAGAGTTGGAAAACGCCTCAACACCATCTATCTTTTACAACTGGTTATGAAGGGGATGACAAATGAAGAAATAAATAAATAAATAAAGGCCTAGGAAAGCGAAAAGTCGACCTTTATCCCCACCCCAAAGCTCCTCTCGGGCCGGTATTTGCATCCAGGCTGAGCTAGAAGGTGGGAACAGGTGTGTCACAACCTACTCCACTTGCCATAAGCAGAAATTGTCTTGCTGTGCCGCTTGTGTTGGAAAACCATTAGTCGAGGCAAGACAAAGGCTAGGCAGACAGGACGGCGGGGGGGGAGATGAGGTGGAGGGCGAAGAGAAGCCAGGAGTCAGCCGAGCACTGGGAACATTATAGATGACATCATTGCTTCAAAGAGATGTGTTCCTCCCTTTCCCAGAGCTGTAGTCGAGCGTATTTGGGAGTCAGCGGGAGCAGGGTTGTCTGCAAGGGGTGAATTGGTGGGTAGCTGTGTGTCCATAACCCAGAGAGAAGCCCAGACAGTAGGAGACCGGCTGACACCCAGTTAGCCAGACAAGAAGCCACCTCCCCTGAAGGTGTTTGCGCTGAGCGGGGCTCCGCCCCCTCCTCTCAGCGCGCCAGCCCTGGGAGGGGCACGCCGGTTTAGGGGAGGGAAATGTGTGTTCAAGGGGGAGGGTCCGTAGCGACCGTGGCGGTGGAGAGCCGCTTGCGCATGTCTAGGCTAGCAACACATTCGGCAAGAGGGCAGCTCTGGAGAGGGGTGGCTTGATCACCCAAGCACCCAGCGTCGGGGCTCCACAGGATCCAGGGGCGCGCTCCACGGAAGGGGTTCCTTGCCACTACCACCCTCCAGATCACCAACCCTACGGGAGCTCTCGCTTCTTTTCCAGCCCCTCGAGGACCTCCCGGGAATCCGGGTCCCTGTGTACAAGACAGAGGTGAAACGAATTTTGTAGCCCAGACGACGGCTGGAGTCGGGACACACCCAGCCGGAGAAGCTTGCCGGAGCTCTTGAGTCTCGGTGGATCTAAGTCGGAGTGTCGCTGTCCCTAGGGGAGGCGAGAGGTGAATCAACATGACTCCTTCGACAGCCCAGCATCCCCGCGCCGGCTGCGCGCTTCCTTTCTCAGCTCACTTTGCTTTGGTGGCTGAAGCCAGATGCCGGGGAGAGATTGGAATTCCAAGACCGGGGTGGGCGGGGAGGCTACTGTCCGTGGTGCTGAGCCAAGCCCGGGTACTCGTTCCAGCGAGAGAGCACGAGGTGGCCTGAGCTGACACCCACACTCGGCTCCAGATCCCACAGATCCTCCCCCCACCCCCAGGCAGGGCCCATGACCTTTTCTTCTTCCTCCCACTCAAAAGGTCTCTCCCTTAGGGGTAGTTGATCCCTAAGGGTTTCCTGGAAAGAGTCACAGGGCGAAGTCCTTGACAGAGATTCTCTATGTTTAGCTTCAGAAACCACTCACGGAAAAAGATGCCTGCCTTCAACAGATTGCTTCCCCTAGCTTCTCTCGTGCTCATCTGCTGGGGTAAGTACAGCACCCTGCCCTGCAATATGCAGATAACAGGCATCATGGTAACAATAATAACACTTATTTATGTCGCTGGTGACAAAAGGAACTCTCTTGGCTTCCTTCCGTGCATGTCTGCCAGACATGGGTTTCCACACGTGCTCCCAGAGAGCTGGCTTTAGAGATTCAAAGGCACCTCCCCCCACGGCCCTGTGACTTGATTTCCCCCCCCCAACCTTCTATGGTGCTTTCCCAGCTTTCTTCCTTTCCTAATTATTCCTGTTTTCTCCCCTAGCTTTCCCCTTTGCTGAAAAGGAATGTATGGCATGCATTATTTTAAAATTCTTGCTTGCATTTACATTGTATCACTCAGTGAAGAGTCAGGTCTGAACGTCTCAATGGATTGGGGGCTCATTTCTCTCTGCTAAAAACAAGTACAAACACTGGATGCATGAATTTTGAGAGAGAAGATACTGTGGCTCATCCATCTGTTAAATTGTAGCAAGGAATGGCTGAGATAGTGCCTTCAGCCATTTGCTGGTGTGCATTGATAGATGGGAAGTGCTTTTAGTTTGCAAGAACACTTAGAGATGAGGTGCTTTGGTATTTGGTGAGCTGGGTTGCTTTGTTTGCTGGAGTTTTGTTGTTGTTGTTGTTGTTGTTGTTGTTTTTACTCTTGGTTGTCACCTGTGAGAGACTGAGGTGGCACTGCCCCTCCAGATAAGGGATTTGTGGCAATAATGCTGGGCTAAGCAGCTTCATGCATAGTTTACAACAAAGTATCTGGATGAGCGCTAATGGAATTGGGCATCTTGGTGCTAATAAAATACTGTAATACACACAGTATTTTACTGTATGTAAATCCAGGTATGCACTAGCATGTATCTGAGCATATTAGTATGAGTAGCTAAATAGATTAGTGAGACTTAGCAGTGTGTGTGTGTGTGTGTGTGTGTTTCTGACATCTTTGCTTTCATGTCTCTGATCCAGCCTTCAGATCAAGTATAGGTGCTCTTCGGTTCATAAATCAGTTTATGTTGGTTTAGCTATCTTCCTTCAGATTCAAATAAAAAAAACCCATAAGGGATTGTGTCCACTTCTCTTACAGAAAGCAGGCTTGTAGGATTATGTTCCTGTACTGGGTTTGGCTTCCATTCTGCCTGGGCAGGGGCAGGCATGCCTCTTTTCCTTAGTATTACTTTGTCAAGCCTTGGATAGGAACTGTAGCTGCACGTATTATTTGGATTTTGCATGTGACCAGTGGAAAAGCCCAGTTTCCTGTTAAATGAAATGCCTAATGAAACAAGAATAGGAAGGAAAAGGAAGAAAATAATCCCAACCCCAAGGGTGGACACCACAACCCATTCCCTGAAGACTACAGCATACTTGGAGCTGATGCTGACATAATGCGCTCAATGAGTTCACCTGCCTTGAAGATGAAGGCTATTTGCTCCAGGGAAATGCTCAGGCTGTGAGGTTTAGAAAAGGTTAGTCTGGCAGGATATGAGAAGGTGTGGGTGAGGCTCAAATTGTAGAGAAAGGTTGAAAGAGATCTGTAGAGAATTTTTCCAACATTTAAATTCTTAAGATTTCTTCCTGAATTCCAGGGGCAAGGGGAGAGGGTATGCTGCAGTCTCAACAGTTTTTGATTAGGACCCACAAAGCTCTGGTTTGCATCTTGCCTCTATCAGTTCTACTACTTCGTTTTTATTAGGTAACATCCTCAGAATGCCTGATAAAGGTGAAATTTGGAAAATGTCACAGGTCATATATAACACCCCTCTTCAGCTCACAACTCAACCAGAAGGGGAGGCTTACAAAATATTGCTAGAATTTTCAGTGGGCCCATCATCTCTTCTCCCTCCAAAATCTTCAGGGCAACTAACAGTATAGGTCACATCCATCCTTGCTCATTCCAGGACTGTGTAGCTCAAACATTGGTTCCGAAAATGCATTTCAGAATGCTTGGTGGTTTGTGTAGGGGAAAGAGCCTCACTTACAAGTGTAATTTTACTTTATGTGCATATAATTCTTATATCCCTTCGGTCTTTTGGCCAGCACATCACGGAGGGGTGACATGAGAGTTATTTCCACTTTAGGTATGAGACTATGAGTTCATTAAGGGCTGAGGACTTGCTAAAGATCTACTGTCTTCCTGATCTCCATCTTCCAGCGCCCCTTGTAGACACACGTGATGTTGTGTGCAATTATCAATTGAACATTAGTCCTGGAATTTCTCCTCTGAACCTCCCTCTCATTCCCCCAATAACACCACCTTTCCTAGGGCTTCATCCACCTTTAGCTCCTAGTGCCTTCTCTATTTTTGCTCTCCAAGTGTTCCTTGTACTGGGGAGTTTTCTTCTTCCCCTGGCAGCCCTTCCTGGATCTCATTCCTTCAAGACTCTGCTAATGGGATAGACCAAATTGTTTCAGGATGTTAATGTCTAAAAATAACTTTATTCATGCCCCCCTTGCACATTATTTACATTATAATTAAAGCCTTATTATCTTACTGTGGAGGAAGCATTCTAGGGAAAGCTCAGGAAGTGAAAAGAAGAGAAAGATCTAGAAGGAGCAGAGGAGGTTTTTTTGTTTGTTTTTGGTTAGTCTGTCATCCTTAATTCATCACATTTTTTCCTCATGATTGTTTTCCTTGTTACTTTAGAAATGAAGGTGAATTCCAAGGTCAGTGAGCAGCCCACATCGTTCCAAGAGATTATGATTTACAGCCAGTGATGTGGGTTGACCTCTTCCATGTACTCTACCTTTTGTGGGTACCTGGATAATGTCACAGAAAAAAAAAAGGCAGTGGCATGGTGGAGCAACTGACTTCACTGATGATGGAAGGAGCAGGAGGTCCTATTGCAGGGTGCAAGCAAATGAGGGGAGAGAGTCATGTGGCCATTTTGCAATGTGTTGCCCGGAACTGCAGGAGCAGAGTTCTTTTACCTGGAAACTGGACTTTTGCCAGAAGGTTCACAGTGGGCATGCTCTCCAAGGACACTCTAAAGAGGGCAGCTACACTCCATACACTGCCACCCGCCACCCTGACTGTGCAGTGTTTCCCTCCTTCACTTAATGGCTGTGCTCCTCTTCTGCCTTCCAGTCTGTGTTCACGAGAACACGTAATCTACCCAACATTGTTAAGCCGGCTCTTCTATCACCTAAGCAAAAGAACCTTCCAATCTCACCACTGTATAACTTCTTTAAATTTTTAAAAAAAGTTATTTCGTGTGTGTGTGTGTGTGTGTGTGTGTGTGTGTGTGTGTGTGTTGGTGTTGGTGTTGGTGTTGGTGTGGAGATATGTGTACATGTGTGTGGGGTGTCCTAGAGACCAGAGGTGGGTGTCAGATCCCCTGGAGCTGAAGTTACAGATGGTAGTAAGGTACCTGACATGGATGCTGGGAACCAAATTCAGGTCTTTTACAAGAACAGCAAGTACTCTTAACCATTGAGTCATCTCTTTGCCCCTAATTTTTTTTATTGAACTTATTTCTTGGGTAGGGGGATTACATGCCACTGTGCACACAGAGGGAGGTCAGAAGATAACTTATGGGAGTCAGTTCTTTCCTTCTGTCATGTGGCGCCCAGAAGTTGAACTCAGGTTTGCTGCAAGTGGTTTCATCGGCTGTGCCATCTTGCCAGCCCCTGTACCAACCTCTTGATCATTCTCTCACCTTTGAATCCGCTTTACCTGCCAGTTTATTCTCCCCTTGGCACACTGACCATGCAGCATCGTAGAAATCACATTAATCAGCTCAGAACCCTCAAGGTCCCCTAGTTTATGCTGTGCAAAAGCCAAAGCTCTAACTGTGGCCTGTGCGGGCCCTCGTCTCCCTCACCCCTCTCATCTCTCCCTTCTCACTGTTTGCTGGTTTCCTACACGGGGCTTTGCTGTTCCTCGAATGTGACAGGCACCTTCTTTTGAACCCTGGAGTGGCTGTTTTCTCTTGCTTGTCATGGCCCCACACAAACATCCCTGTGGCTTCTCTTTTTGTCCCCTTCAGTGGCTTCTCAGTGCCAATATTTCACTCTGAGTGAGGCTGGCCCTGGCAATACATTCTTCCTCTCCTTTCCTTGCCCTACCTCTCTTCCACCACCCTCTCCGCTCTCCTTATTCCCCTCCCCCCCTACTGTTTTATTTTGTTCTATAACCTACTTGTGCCACCTCCATTGGAATTCAGGCTCCAAGAGAGCTGGGGTGGTTTTGTTTGGTTCTTTGTGCCTAGAACAGTGTTGGCTACATAGTGGGTACTCAATACATTTGCCAAATAAATGGAAGAGAAATACCATCATTAATGATATTTATCCAACGCACAATCATGTGAAATAATCCATAGGATTTTCATGACCTATCTACTGGGTGTTTTATTTTTTAAAAATTATTGAATAACCTGAGTCTCAGAGAAGTTAGGTAGCTAGTCAGATACAGTCCTTAAGTTTTCAAACACCACTCGCCCTGCTTCTACAGTTATAGCTTTGCATTCCTTAAGGCTTTCCTTTCGTGCTGCTGAGGCTATCCATATTGACCTGATTACTTCTCGTCAAGTTTGAGGGTCTATGTTATATGCAGTTCTTGCTGCATAAACTTTTACACAACATTTTTAGTTGCTTTGAAAGCAAGTCTGTAATAAAGACTATACATTTATCACATACCCCAAGTGTTTCTAACCATTGCCCCCAAGATGTGAACCTTGAACCTTTCTCCATTAAAACAATGAAACCGATCTTCTGTAGACAACTGGATAAGGCTAGCCCACTTCCCTTGAGGGTTTAAAAGCCAATTAATTTTTTTCATTTAGAACGTTTAAAAACTTTAATTATAGTGCCAATGGGCTCTAAATTCCAAGTTTAAAATGAAATATCCTGACATTGAGCTAGTTTTAAAATATCAGTGTGTATTGTCTCACCTTGCAGAGTCTGTGTTAATCATTAATTCACGGACAGGGGCATCAGAGGATCCTTCAAAGTCCCGATGGTAGTTGTTATACTTTTGAATATTCCAAATAATTAGGTATAAAATCACCTACCAATAGGTTTTTTTTGTATTTATGAACAGCTGCAGAATCTGAAAATATATTTTATTTTTTAAGTTGTTACTTATTTTGAGACAGAGTCCCATGTAACATAGGCTGGCCTCAAATGCAAGGAAGACTCTGAATTTCTGATCCTCCTGCCTCAGTACCCTGAGGGCTGGGACTGCAGGCATGTACAACCACACCTGATTTATTCAGGGTTGGAGCTTCATGCATGGTAGGCAAACACTTTACAAGCTGAGCAACAGCCCCAAACCAATCTTTGTTATTAATTTGTTTGTTGGATACAGACTTGTACTCAGTAGCCCACACTGTCCTCACACGTGCAGCGATCCTGGCTACGAGAGATTTTCTAAAGATAGGTTTGATGGCATATGCCTGTAATCTCACCGTGAAGACCGAAGCTGGAGGACTGTGAGTTCAAGGTCAGCCTGGGCAACACAGTAAGACCCTGTCTCAAAACACAAAAGGAAAACAAATTAACTGCACCGAAGTCATTCTTAAATCTTTAAAAATTGAGTATAACTGAATTTCTTTTCCATTTGTTAGCTGAAATGTTTGAAGACGAGCCTGCTGTGTGTCCACGTTCCCACATTTGTTCCGGGTCTTGTTGATAGGCCTTCCTGATCACCTCTGGGGGTGCACTCACTGAACAGCCTCCTTTTGTTAAATGTGACACACTGAGCTGATCGCAGCATCCGGATTTGTTCTGAACATTGCAGAATTACCCCTCGTTCCCTCTCCACACTCTACATCTGTTCATGCATGCCACATTTGTTCATGCTTTGTTGGCATCTGTGTCCTGCTTTTGATTCATTCCAAATATGTAGTCTGACATAGTCACCTTTCTTTGGACTTGGAGTTTCTAGAGGGCAGGAACCAAAGGTCCAAACCTCCATCTGTCTGATCATCTGACCCCTCCAGCATTTGAATGTTGTCTTTCTACTCTGCACAGATCCTGCTCCAGACTAAGTGGTCCATTCATCTTATTCACATTGATGTTGCTCCATGCTCCATGGGTCCTCAAACACCAATCGGATTCCCTCTCCCCTTGGCTTTAGAGCCCTTGATATATTACACCACAAAGCACATACAGGTCTTCCCAGCATGAGTCTTATCTGCCTTTCTATTTCATGTCCCACCAGCCCTTTCTTCTCCCCAGCCCAAGCACTAGAGAGCTAATTGCCCCTCTGTGGGAACTGAGCACATTACTAACATGACCTCTTGTGTGTTCTGGTTGAATCACCACAAGAAATGCATTTTCTGCTCGATTATAGATGCATAGAGAGCATGGCTAGTGTCTTGTTCGGGTCTCTAATTTAGCATTAGACCTGACAAAGAATGTGTTTCATGACTGCTGGATGAATGATATCAAGTAGGTAGACAGCTGATAGATGGAAGCATGGTCTGTTCCCAACTAGACTTCCAGGCTTTGAGGTTAGGCTCAAGTCTGTCCTGTGCAGCATCTTCATGGCTTCCAAAAACTTCCAGTCAATGTTGGAGGGCCCACCGCTGCACTACCTTACTCTAAACCTATTCTGATCATGTGTACTCAAGGAGTCCCAGCAACAGGTACACACGTCGATCTGGTTATTTTCAAGTGTGTCTCATGATTCTTTCTTCTCTGTCTTTCCTCCCTCCCTCCTCATTCCCCGATGACCCTCTGACTGTCCCCTTCTTGTCACCCATCCTCTCTCCAGTCAGAGTCTGCTTCCCTGTGTGTGTGGAAGTACCCTCGGAGACGGAAGCCGTGCAGGGCAACCCCATGAAGCTGCGCTGCATCTCCTGCATGAAGAGGGAGGAGGTGGAGGCCACCACGGTGGTGGAATGGTTCTACAGGCCTGAGGGCGGTAAAGATTTCCTTGTATGTCAGACTGCTGCCTCTGGCCTTTCTTTTGCTGGTCTATGCTGTTGTATGCCTGGCTCTTGGCAGTCTGGGAGACGATGTCCAGACATGACATTCACTCCTCTTCTGAGTGCATAACTGACAGCTTTATAGTAGCCCAGGGTCTTTGCAAGGCAGGTGACTTGGCCAGCTGTGAACAGCCCTGGTTACAAGCATGAAAAGGGGTACAAACAAAAAATGTGTTGAGGGAGCCTGTGTAGGCTAGACACCCTGGTAGACCTCTTACATGTGTGTTTATCTTCCACACAGTCCTATGAGATGGATTTAATGGAGCTGAAACTAAAGAAAACAGGCAGCTTCATATAGGTGAGCTCTTTCAACTCTCACAGTCCCAATGAAGTAGGAGGAACTGGGATGACCAACGTATATCAACTGATATGCCCAGGACAGTCACCTCTGTGGGTAAATTTTTTAATTAGTTCTTGCCGTGTTCTGTATCCCAGGTGGTAATGCAGCCATTCTCCCCAGGAGGAACCCTAAGCTACACGCTCCTCATGTTCCAGACACCAAGGATTCACCGCTGGTGTGGCAAGAAGCCCTCCAGACTATGTGCCAGGGTCAGGGTCAATGTCAGTTCTGGTTGGGTTGGGACAGTGTTCACGGGGTTGCGATTTATTTCCGTCACTGGTAACACTTTCACTGACTCTGGAGCCAGGCTGCCTGGGCTTGATTCTTTTCTTCTCTATGCCTGTTTATCTCTATGCCTATAGACATATTCAACCTGCTGATGCTTCCAATTTTTTTTCCTTCTAAGTGGGAATGGAAACAAAAGCTTCATTATCCGGTTGTTACCAAGACTCATGAGCTCCAATTTTTAATTCATTTTAAATAGTCCTTGAAATATGATGTGTTTGTTAAGGAAACTGAAGCTCAAAAGAGTAACATTAAGTTAGTAAAAGAGTTCAGATTTGAACACACACACACACACACACACACACACACACACACACACACGGGTTTAGATTTGTACATGGTGATCTGACAGCAGATCCCAAGCTCTTCCCAGAGCTCTACCTTGCTCCCCTGGGTCTCTTCCACAAGACCCACTGCAGACAACAACATGGCAAAACTGACTTTCACGCTTTCATTCCTTCTTTCTCCCAAGGTGGAGTCATTTCTGATTCTAGGTACTACGTGGCATTTGAATGTAGGCTGGCTCCAACCTGGCGTCAGGGCAAGGACCAACAGTGACTTCTTAGAGTCTAACTTACACCTGAGTCGTATATGAGGGAAGGAAGGTCTTAGCTGGATGCGAAGAGTCTATAGGCTTCAGGCCTGGTCACACGTTAACCGCATTCACTGCTGGCACGCCAGTCCCGAATCACAAGACACAACTGAAGGACTAAGTTGTAGTTAATGTCTAGGAACATGAGTTTGAATTTTAGTCAACACCTGTGGTTGGTGGAGACTAAATGGAAAAAGTGTCGTGTCAGGGAGCAGAAGTGTCTGAGAGCGAAGTCAGAAAGAGGCAACGTTGGTTTAATTCAGCCCAAAGGCAAAAGCTCTACACATCTTTCTGTTGTGAGTTCTCTGCTCCCTCGAAGTCCTTCTGTATTGTGGATTTCCGTCTGTAGCCTGGCCACAATCACCATGATGGATGCCAGCTCAGAGAGTCAGGTGTTAGACTTGGGGCCGTCAGGTTCTCTTCCCTGCTAACAGCTGCCTTGTTGGTCTCTGTATCCTGCTTTCCCCATTGCTGGTCTCCTCGGTCACAGAGCTCACTGTCCTTCCCTACCCCGTTTCTTTTTTTCCTGCCTCCTCTCTGTATCAGCCACCCTCCTTTTTTCTCCACTCTGCTCCTTTTTCTCTCCCAGGATTCTTTCTGATGGCTCTATGCTGCCACCATGTCCACACATCTGTTTGCATCTGCCTGCTTTCCCATCCTCGCTCTCTCCCCCTGGCTTCCTTTGTGCCTCCTTATCCCACCCCACCAGGCCCTGGGTCTTCTGGAACACTGTCCCCCCACCCGTGTGAACGCCTGCTCTTCTTCCTGCCCTGTCTCTACCTGGCTCTCTGGCCACAGTCTGCTTCTGCTCCTCTCTCTGCAGATATACGAGTATCGAAATGGACACCAGGAGGTGGAGAGCCCGTTCCAAGGTCGTCTGCAGTGGAACGGGAGCAAAGACCTGCAGGACGTGTCCATCACTGTGCTCAATGTCACTCTGAATGACTCTGGCCTCTACACATGCAATGTGTCCAGGGAGTTTGAGTTCGAGGCACACAGGCCCTTTGTGAAGACCACGAGACTAATACCCTTGAGAGTCACTGAAGAGGGTAAGACTGAGGCCTGGAGTCTCTTCCGGGGGTGGACTGGAGCACAGTGGCTTTCCACACATGTGATCCTTAGAGAGCCTGTAAGCTGATGGATGCATGCAGACCTTCCTTCCTTGCACGGCCTACTTCCTACAGCCTGCTTCATCAGAATCCCTTGCTGTGTTTACCCTCAAAGCGCACAGGCTAGTATAGATACTAGGGTAGCTTCCTTGGACCCCAAGCGAAAAAGGACAGCCTCCACAAGGCCTACAGCCTTTTCCCTCTGACCAGTGCTGAATACCTAACTTATATGGAAACTTCATCTCTTTTCCTCTTTCAAGCCACATATCTCTCCAAACAAGTTGCTTTCAAAATTTAGTGAATCTCAAGTCTCCTCGGTTTTAAAAATTCAAATTTACATTTATTTGCTCTGTGTGTGTATGTGTGTGTGTTCATCTGTCTGTCTCTCTGCATGTGTAAGGAGTTCAGAGGGCAACTCACAGGAGTTGGTTCTGTCCTCCTACTATGCAGTGGTAACAGGAGTGAGCTCCGTTCATCAGGCTTGGTGGTAGGTGCCTTTACCTGATGACCCATCTTACTAAGCTCTTCCACATCTGTAGTATCTCTACATGCATCTATCCTCAGCCAGGGTTGGGAACAAGTTGACAGCTCTCTTAGTGCTTAAAGTCTACAGATGCTGTCTGTTCTTTGGTGGGCAGTTCTGTCAGTAACCTAACTTGTGTATTTCCCTTGCCGCCCGAGTCCAGAATCATGGGGAACCTCACAGACTGCTTTTGCACTGCAATCAATCAGGAGACTCAAAAAGCTGTGGTTCACGGTCACGGCTAATGCTCCTTCCTGAGGCAGAATGTGAACTCTGCACCTCCTTTTGGGTTTCCTCACTAGGGAGTCACCATGCCATTCTCACGCCCTCTCAGACATGTGTGTTTCCAGTGCATTCTTGTTGCCCTAAGATACAGGCTGGCGAGTAGACAGTATTGCCGGCCGTGAAAACAGAAGTCAATCACAGACAGAGCTTGCCCTGAGCAAGGGAGTGGAGGAATCATAGCCTCTAGGCCACTGGCTGATTTAAAAATTAAAAAGTATCACTGTTATAAAAATCCAGGAAGTGACGGTTTCTGGGTCTTGAGGGTGAATGACATTGAGACATTATAACTGACCCAAGTGGAAGGCAGAGCCGGTTCTGAACGTGTGGCAGGCTTGGGCCACCTGAATGAATACTTGTTAGCCCACTTCCACTCCGAGAGCTTGGGTCCTCTGGTGAAGAAGCCGAGGGGTTGAACAGGAAGCCCTCTGAGGTATAATTCCGTTCCAATGTTCCATTACCCTCCTTTGTTTATGCATCCTCTCCTCCCCCGGGGGAGGGAGCCTGGTGCCCTCTCGTGTTCGCCACCAGGAATTGCTGGCCTGTGTGTGTCTGTCTCCTGCTCTTTCAGGCTTTGGCCTCCAGAGATGCTGGGGACACAGCCAGTGGGGAAAGTGTGGCACCACTGTGCTAGCTTGCCTGTTTGTCACCAGCGCAATCCTTGGATAAGGATTCATAATTAGAGCGACAGAGCTGCGCAGGTGGTAGGGCTGGGAAGGCGTTTGGACAGTATTTAATCCAGGTGCCTGCGCATCACCCTTGCAGGTGTGACTTCAGTAGCTTAAGGTCCAGTATGCGTTCACAGGACGCCCCTCAGGAACATGGAGGGCTTAGGTGTGGTGAGAGCGATCCGAGGAGCGAAGAGTTAGCTTAGGAGCGTGAAGTGGCATGAAGATTGGGACCAACATCCGCTATCGAGTTAGCCCTCCTGACCGCATCTTCCCCTTCTACCACCGGCTCCTCCCCGAGATGCTTCCCTCCGTGTTTCTTGCTTTTGCCTCTGGAACCCCTAGGCAGCCCTCCCCGCCCTCATGTCACTCACAGGTACACATGATAGATGTTTGTTTGCCCCACTCCTGGGGCCCCAGGGGATCTGCCTGGTTCTCCTTGTTGGCTTTTTCCAGGCTTAGTCTCTCTGTTCTCATTCTAAGACAGGAAGCTGTGGCCTCTTCTCCTACAGGTGACAGAAATACAGAGGGAACCTTCCTGTTACTACATCGGAGCTACAGCACCACAATAGAAATAACACACTTTAAGGCAAGCCTATCATGCACATTTATCATGTCATAACAAGTCCAGCAGAAGACAGGTGAGGGATGTTTTCATGTTCGTACACTCCCAGCTTCACCCATGGCCTACAGTTCCAGCAGGATCAAGAAAGTCCAATGTCTAAGCAACTAGAGATGAGACATAGGCTTGCCCGTCATAAATACAGTCATAAATACATTCTCACGGTCAGTAGAAACGAAACATAGTACCATTCCTCCTGGGAGGAATTTTACTGGCTGGGTGAAAACTGTGCATGGATGTAACAATACTACCCAAGATCCTAAGAGAAGTTTCCCCTTCCGGAGGCAGGGATTTCAGCAGAATTTAGGGTCATTCTCTGGAGGCTGAAAATCAGGACAGGGTTGCAGAACAGAGCTGGCCATGAGTAGGATATATAGTGTAGGAAGAGAAGAGAGATGAAACCAGTACATAAAGAGAGATTATGGCTAGCCAAATGGAAAGGAAGTGAGAAAGATGGACTACAAAGGGCCGTCACTAGAGATGGGCTGTATCCTGGAGAGCAAGGGAACAAGGAAGGATTTTAAACAGGGAAATGGAAGGATGCATCTTTGTCTTAAGAGCAGAACTGGGGAGAGTCCCCTGGAAGGCCCTCATTTCTCCTTCCAGACTCATGGAGAACATGCCTCTACCACTGGGTGGGCTGACTATGGCAGCCGTAAATGATGCTACTCTCTGGGGACACCACCTCTACTACCTGTGTTCCAGGTCATAGGTAGCTAGAATAAGGCATGTTCCTTACATCTGTGTGGAGTTTCACACCTAGCCATTTTCATGTTGTGTTTGTCCGCTGTGTACTGCTGGGGCTATGAACTAAGTGCTTTGTGATTATGCTGTCCCCGGGTTCTCCACTGCTATAATATGACACCCTCAAATACACTGAGTAATGTAATATTCACAACAATCCAGACTACTGTGAATCATTGTCCTCATTTTACAAGTTAAGAAACTGAGACTCAAAAGCAATGCGTATTTACACAGTAGGTAGTATAACTTGGATGCAACTGGTGTGTGTGTGTGTGTGTGTGTGTGTGTGTGTGTGTGTACACATGTATCTACAATCATTCTGGATCTAGTATTCCTTCTTTCACTTGTCATTCCCCTCATCCTTATGTCCAGAAAAGCTGAACACTCAATGAGAAACTGATAGGGAGTCAGACAATGGGGATGTCTTTGATACACTGGTAAGCTCCTCTAGACTTGGTGTTTATTTGAGCTATACTTAATAGACTCAATATATCTATGAAGCCAGGGACAGTGCTGGGTCTGTGGGACACATGTATTCTGATCCTCATTCTCCTCCTTGCAGCGGGAGAAGACTTCACCTCCGTGGTCTCAGAGATCATGATGTACATCCTCCTGGTCTTCCTCACCCTGTGGCTGTTCATTGAGATGATCTACTGCTACAGAAAGGTCTCCAAGGCTGAGGAGGCAGCCCAGGAAAATGCGTAAGTCCAAAGAGGCAGAAGTAATGACAGCTCACACGTTCAGGATGTGTGTTGCCAGTGGTGATGGGTTAAGCAGCTCATACACCTTGTGTATGTTCCTCTTCTTAACAATCCAATAAGAACTCTCCCAGAGCCGGGTGGTTAGTGGCTCACACCTTTAATCCCAGCACTCATGAGACAGAGGCAGACAGACCTCTGCGAGTTCAAGGCCAGTCTGCTCTACAAAGCATTCCAGGACAGCCAGGACTGTTACACAGTGAAATGTTGTCTCAAAAAGCCAAAGGAAAAAACTATAAAGGACACATTATTATGTGTGTTTTACCGATTAGAAAATAGTGAGCCTAGAAGAAGTTCTGTTGAGGCCATTGTAAGTCACAAACTATCTTAGTTACTATTGTTAAAAAAAGTAGCAAAAAGCAACTGGGGGCAGGGAGGATTCACTTCATGTTTAACTTCTACATCGCCTTCCATCTTCAAAGAAAGGCAGGCCAGGAACCTACAAGCAGAAACCAAAGCAGAGGCCACCGAGAAGATTCTTACCGTCTTCTCCTCATGGCTTACTCAGACCACCTAACCAGGAGTGGCACCATTCTCCACAGGCTTGCCCACAAACCAGTTTGTGGGAGGTTTTTTGTTTGTTTGTTTTTTGTTTTTTTTTTCAACTACTTTTCCTAGCTTGTGTTGAGTTGACAAAACAGTAGCCAGCACAGAGACAAATCAAGATTTGAATTCAGGCCAGCTGTCTCGTGGCCTGCACTTTAAACCACTATAGAAAAGACAAGCAGCTGCCAAAGCAGCCTCATAAGGTTATATATTAGCATAAGCAGTTTGTAAATATTGAGTTGAGGCTGTCTCACAGAAGCACATTGCCGAGGTGAATGGAGAAGCTGGGAATCAAACCCAGGCCTTCTATTCTTAATATCTGTGCTCTCTGTGTCAAATTGAGCTGTTCTCTCTATGCATTCCAGAGCATGCCAACTCACCTGGGCACTGCCCTCTATTAGCTAAGGAATGCCACAGAGCATGCTCTTTCCTTTAAGACTTTGTAGCAATGGGCTACCTCAAGCAGGGGATTTAATTCCCTAGTGTCTGGCCTCTACTCTCCCCACTTTCACCAAAGACTCATCACCCAAGAGTGAGTACATGTGAGAACTGCTGGAGTCTCTAAGGACAAAGGGGCTAAGAAACCCTATTGGCTTGGCCTGTTGTTTGGGAAAAGAAAATGGAGCTATGGTTTAAAAAGAAGCTCACAGACATCCAGAGACACTGAAGAGGCAGTACCTAAAATGCTTAGGCCATAATAGCTTAGACATTTTTGATAAAATTTAAATTAATCCATTTTGTGACATCCATGATCTCAGAGAAATAAAAATTACAACCAACAATTGTAAAGGCAGAACTCATGGCTGAATAGGAGATATTGAGGCTTGGACATGGATGTATCTCCTACTGGGCTCACACAAGAAACAGAGTAAGAACTAAGAGCCTCCAGTACAGCCAGAATCTCCAGAGGGCTACACAGGGTAGACCAGATAACAGCCAGCTTTGAGAAAATCCAAGGAACTTATCTATGCTGGTCTGACTCCAAGAAGAACCAAAAGGATTCTTGGAAATAAGTAATGACAAGCTTGCTGTCACAGCATTTGGGATTTAAATAGATACTATCCAAATGATCAAGGAAACTTAAGATGAGAAATTCGATCCAAAGCTACCGAAATAAGAGGGGAAAAAACATTCCAAAGGGGCCCACTCTCAGGCAAGGCCTCACAAAAGGACCCAGGCTAACTGGGCCTAGATCTCCTTTCATAATCTCATCCCAACCTAAAGTTCACTGAAGAAAGTAATCGAGCTGAGCAACAGATGTTATAGACAGCAGGATTAAGTTCCAGGAGACCCAAAAGTAAAGTATAGAAAAAAAGCTTGTTTAAAATAGTTAGAACAGGGTGAGGCCAAGGAGGAAAGCTTATGCCTCGACTGTGAGAGGCCCTGGGTTCAATCTCAGTACCATACACACACACACACACAATGAACAAAATAAAATACTGCAAAACAAAACTTTTAAAGAACACAAAGCCAAAGAGAAAACAATTTGCTAGAAAGATCAATCAGAGTTGATAGAAAGTAAAACAAAATGAAAAAAACATACTTTTCTGTGGGAAAAAAGGTAATAAACTACTCAATACTACTCAATGTATAATTTTCAACAGAAAATTATATACTGGTGACCAGAAGATGAATTTGAAAAAGTTACACAGAATATGGCTCAGATACAGAAAAGGTGAACTATAACAAAGAAATGGAAAGACGGATGAGATGTCTCAGAGAAGACAGCAAATGCAGGAGAATTATACACACTCAGAGATAGGGAGGCCAGAAAGACTTCCCTAACCTGAAGGATAACCCTCTACTTACCCTTACCCTAACCCTCTACTTACTATGACTCATCCTAAGAGTATTTTACTTTATAATGATGTGAAAGCAGCAGATATTACTTCACAGGTTGGATTCCAATGTCTTCTCAGACTAGCAATACAGTTTGCTCCCTCCAGATACTGAGCAATCACTTCAGCTTCCAGTCAGCAGGAAACACACTGTTGCTAAGTGAGCTGTGATTGTTGGTAATGTAGGTGTGTTAAATGCATTGCCATCATTTATCAGGACATAACCCTCTAAGTTAAGGATCTTCTTATGTCCTGAGTAGGGTGAATGCATGAATCTATACTAAACACGAATTTCCTTTAAATAGATAAAAGGGGAGCTACTCAGGTACTCTACATCAGTATCATCTGAGATGAAACCTTAGAAGCAACATGACAAGGATGCTCTCTCTCCTTGCTCCTATTTAATACTATATTTGAAACCTTGGGTAAAATATTAAGAAATGTACTTAGTTTCTTTTTCTGTTGCTGTGATAAAATACTCTGACAAAAGGAGTATGAAATGAGTACAAGGGTTTATTTGGTTCACAGTTCAGGTTACAAAGTCCAGGTAAGTCACAGTGGGGAGAATCTGAGAGAACTGCTTGCATTACATCCGTTAAACCCATTACATCCACAGTCAAGAACAGACAGCAGGGAATGTATGCATGATAATGCCCCGCCCAGTTCCTCCCCTTTTATACTGCCCAGGATCCCTGCCTAGGGGATGCCACCACCCACAGTTAAGACGGGATGTTCTGTATTGGTTATAATCAAACAACCTTTCATATTTTTAGAGGCTAACCCAATCTCTCACACGTGTGCCCAGAGACTTGCCTCCTAGGCATTGAACTGACAATTAATGCTAACCATCATAAATAAAAGTGGGATAAGGTTTACAAAGAAGGAAAGTATATTACCATTACTTACACCCAAAGTACCATTATCTACACAAAATTTCCTTAAGCAACCTAGTTAAGAAGGTTGCCGATATAAATTCAACATCATTCATGTATCATATAATGTTCATTCAATCACAGACCACGTGTGCCACAGTGGTCCCATAAAATCACACCACCTACTGACAGCTTAGTTTATGTGCTTATACTTTATGATGTTCATACATACAAAGACAAGATCACCTCATAGGACATTTCTCAAAATATGTCTCTGAGGGACAGCAAAGTAAGAATCCGATGTAGAAGCAACCAATATAGAAGCACATTTAAATCCTTAAATTAGACAAAAATAATTAATTGCAATAAGGGCTGAGGAGATGGTTTAGCAGTTGAAAGCGCTTGCTGTTCTTGCAGGAACCTGGGTTCAATTCCTGGCACCTACACGGTGGCTCACAACTGTCTGTCATCTCAGATCCTGGGGATTCAGCACCCTTTTCTGATCTCCATGGGCACCAAGAACACACATGGTACACATACATACATGCAGGCAAGACATCCATTACACATAAAAAGATCTTTAAAAAAAAACTTTTAATTGCAATAGTTAACAAATGTTCACCAGTACCTAAGAATAAAGACAAAAAAAAAAAAAAAAAAAAAAAAGAACCGTGAAAGACCTCTATGGAGAAAATTATAGAATCTTACTGAAAAACATGAGAAAAAGCAAAAGGATAGAGACTGAAACCTAACTCTCCCAGGCAGTTCTTAACCAAAATAATCTTCAAAGTCTATGAAATTCCAATAAAAACCTCTATTGGATTTCTCGGGGAGTCCGGTAAATTCATTTTAAAGGTCACACAGGAGGGAAAAGGGCCAAGAATACCTTAATCCAAAGCACAGTTTGGCTATTTTAGGTTTTGCAAAGCCATAGGGAACTCTGGTTACAGTATTCCTCTGGGTTTTTCTGTTTACAGCACTTTAAACAGGTAACTATACTTGTAGGCCAAGTTTGCCCACCACAAACCTAAGTCAGTTCAAAGCAAAAACAGCACATCTGGAAGATGATGGTGGTAGGATTTGTCTTGGGGGCTATAAAGATTGCTTATAAGGATATAAGACAATGACTTCTCTGCCTTTTGGCTAAGGCTGAGTGGGAAGCTAGCAGAGAGAAGTTTATATTATCCATCTCTCTACAAGCCAAAATAAATTGGAAGTCTTTTTAAATGTAAAATTTGAAAATTGCACTAATGGAGTAGAAAAAATTTACATGTAAACACAGAAAATTCTCTTTTTTTTAACTGAACAAGAATATATATTTAAAGCATCATATTTTACAGAGAAAATTCTTCAATAAAATACCAAAAGTACAAATCAAAGATGGGGAAAAATAATTTTCACTACATTATATATAAAACATCAATTGTTCATGATAAGAAGTTATAGGAAAACTTATTAATAACAGATTGAGACAAATTTTCAAAACATGAAACAATAAAAGAACTTAAATATTTCAGAAGAAAAATGAAATTGTAGACGTAGAGAACAAGACAGCTTGCAAATATATGGAGATGCTCAACTTCACCAGTAACCGGGCAGATGAAAATTAAAGCAACCGTGAAAACACAAATGCATAGCCATTTGGTTTAGCCAAAATTTCAATCTATACCCTGAAGACGATTAGAATGATGATAGGTGATGTCTGCACTGTTGGTGGAGGTGTTCATATGCAAATATGGGAGGGGTCATTGCTATATCTGCTGAGAGGCAAACTGTAGATTTGTCTCGGGAAGGCCTACCCATAAGGAAACACAGAACTCTTCCATACACAGCCTTGTCCCTGGGTCACATACCTTCCCATTTCCTACCCGTTCACCAATGACTACTAAAGCGCTGCCTCTCTTTCCCTCCCACGCCCTCTGCAGGTCTGACTACCTTGCTATCCCTTCAGAGAACAAGGAGAACTCTGTGGTGCCTGTGGAGGAGTAATGTGGTGTGACTTGAGGTGATGTACAGGGTTTAGGAAGGGTAAGGTGGGTGTGCATGGCATGCCATACAAATGTCATTTGGCATCTACAACTGAAGTGACATTCAATTTGGTCTTTTCTACTCTGCATAGCAGTCCTGCCCCCTGGGTACTTTAAGTTAATGATCAAGTCACATTATGTCAAACCCTTCAAAAGCTGAATTTACTTTGGCCTGAATGTTGGACAACCCAATCCCCTTGCTCATGATAACAAAGGCATAATAATTCTTCCATTCCCTCTTTGGTCCAAATGTATTCAGGGAGGGCTGGGCTGGACTTTCTTTCTCAGCGAGTTCTTCTGTTGCTGGTAGGTGATCTGAGCACTGAGGGACTTGGATATTCCCAGTTCAGTGATGTCAGCAGCATCAGCAAGGTGCCCCAGAAGTCCCAATGCATCCATATTTCTATTCATCAACCACCCACCCAACTGTGAGATTTTGCCTGACTTCTGAACTCTATTGGAACATCTCACCTGAACTGAAGAGCCAACACCTCTACTTGGACTACACCTCACTTTGTCCTTGCTTTCAAGCAAGTAGATCCTAACTTAACTAAAGTTGTCCCTTATGGTCCAAATGACTTTACATAAGTACTGGAGAGTTGTGTGCCCCTCTTCCCTGTCTGCAATTGAGTCGTTCTCTACTGCTACAAAAACAATGGATGTAAACCCCAAGGAAGCACTGGTTAGTTTGGGCTAAAGTCAAAGCATGCCATGCACTTAGATTCACTGAAGTCAGTTTTTCCTTTCCTAAGCCCATGCCCTGCTTCTCAGCACCAGAAAGCAGAAATGCTCCTCCAGGGTATCCAGGAACATCTTCCATTTGGCCTGGAATATGCTCTGGAGCTTAGTGTTTCAGGGCTAGATCTCCATAATCCCAAAGGTTTGCAGCAAACCCAGGACTTCCAAGAGCCAAGGAAGGATCCAAGGCAATTTCATTGGGTCTTGAAAGTGATACAACATAGTCCTGATATTGAAAACATGGATGTGTGTCCTTTCTAGACTGAAATTGCTCAGTTGTTCTTTTCTCAGTGTCTGTGGATCAGTATTATTCCTCATTTTACAGGAGGCAGCCGAGACTCACATGGGATGAATGGGACATCTAGGGGATTAAGGTGGACTAGGCATGAGATTTCAATGCTACCAACCTCACATTCCCTGAAGTGAAAGATATTTTTGAAGACTTTGACATTCAACTTGGCTATAGTCATGCCACTTGCCCAGCAGAAGCTAACGATGATAAATTCAGGGAACTGGAAAACAGGCAAGAAAATCCAGAGGGCCTGAGATAGACCTGCAGAATTTCACACAAAGATTTATGAATCTGAAGCATGCTCCAGAAGACATAGCACCCGAAGGTGATATCTGTACAAACAAAAATGTTTTAATCTGCAATGGATGATGAACAAGGTGAAAAAGATGGGTGTGTAGCTTTTAAATACCTCGCCTGTAAATCTGTAATGTTTGGAACTTGGTGTTTGTGTACTGCCCCTCCCCCTCAGAAGATCTTACTCAATCTCTCATTAATTCATTGTAATGACTGTTCTAAGTGCAATATTCTTTAGCCCCTACAGATAAGCGAGGGCAGGAGGCCTTATGGGATATAAAAAGATGGAAGTGGGATTCAATAAGAGAAACGTCCCTCAGATCTGGGGAGATCTGTAGGAAAGACCATTCTCCACTCCCACGGGGGTTTGTATGACTCGCTTTTTCACCCCTTCAATCACTGGGGCATACTTGAAACAAGACCCTCAACATATATGAAAAGCATCTAATTTTGTTGTAGAAAACATTTGCAATAAATTCAAGACCCTTCTTCTCACCAGTTAATTTTCCACCCTATGCTTCTCAAATAACAGAGACAAGAGAACTTTATTTTACACTTTACATAGGGAAATAGACTTGAATTAATGCAGCATTTACCTAGCCATGGGCTAGTTAGTCCAGACCTTGTGGTGGTAGCAAGCCACTTCTTCCATTCCATTGTCTGCTCAACCATGCATCTAACTTGTGATGAGGTGGTATGTGTGACTGCCTTTCCTCTTTATCCCTTTCTTCCTAAACAGAATTCCAACCTAGACATCAGGATTCATAATGAAGCTGAATGACATCAGTCATGTGTCCCTTACATGACAGTTTCTCTTTCATTTTCTAAAATCGCAATTCTTCTCATCCTTGGTACCTTCCTTCCGCTGATAGGGCTTGAAAAGCATTTGGCTGGTTTTTTTCTCTCTCCTCCACAACTACTCCAGCGATATGAACACTGTTGATGCTCAATGCTACCATGAAGAACCTGAGGTCCTCTTGACATCAAGTAGGTTTACTAAATCATCAGCCTGTTGTACTCAGAGAGCTTGGGTCCTAGTCTTGCCTCTTGCGTCTCACTTCACTTCCCCACCCAATGACACCATCGTTGCTTCTTCCTTCGCCCTCCTCTCGTCTTCTCCCTCCTTTCCAGCCCTTTCTTCTCTCCACTGTCCTCTATGCTTCCCACTGCTCAGCTTCTTTACCCTTGCCTTCCTGGTGAACGCTAGACACATGCCTTGGGAGTCCATCCCATTCTATTTTTGTCTGGTTTGTTTGTACATGGTGGTTTATCCAGAATCACAATTGAGCTTCCTTATGGAAGATTGTGGCTATAACCTACAAGGCGTGGTACTCACCATCCTACTTAAACTCATCACCACCTCCATTTCTTCTTACGTTTCGACTTAGAATCCCAGACTAGATGGGTGCAGTGCTGGAGTGTTTTCTGGTGCACTGTTGCTTACCAAAGGGCTTAGAAGAGTTCTCAAGGGCTATAATCACTTAGGAATCCCAATGTTTGTCTTGGTGCTCGGTATTTCCCGTGGCTGATCCTCAATCATTTACTGAAGGTCATACAAGGTTGGGTCTGATTTTCCCTTTCTTGCTGCTTAACATCTGTGAACTTGGCTATTCAACTCAGTTGGTCCAGAAAGAATCTTGCCCTGTGACTTTCACTGTCAGCTAGGTCTCGAATCAAACCCCAGTCCCCGAGTGGAAATACCCAGTGCTTGCTCCTGTCTTAGGCTTCACTCTCAGTCCGTTTGGCAGCATTATTCTTTGGTTTCTCCACCCTCGCATAACTGTACACTGCAGATTTCTTTGGAGTTTCTGGGATCGCTCTAGACATCAAACTAGAATTATTAGTAGAAGAGGAAGTTTTCAGAGCATGATTGTGCCAGGACAGACAGCAGTGGGGTTAAGGAAAGAGGCAAGGCTGAGGAGACAGCTCACTAGGCAATGTGCTCACCACACAAACGTGAGCACCCAGGTGCAACCTCTAGAACCCACGTAAACAGCCAGGCATTAAGGCACACTCTGGTACTCCCTGTGCCGGGGAGGAAGAAACAGAAAAGTCTTTGGGCCTCACCAAGTAACCTGGCTTAGCTTACTTGGTGAGCTTCAGGTGAGTGAGAAATCCTGTCTCAAAAAAACAAAACAAAACAAAAACCCAACAAGGTGGACAGTGCCCAAGGAATGATACCCAAGGTTGACTTCTGGCCTCCACATGTGCATGCACACAAGTTACGGGCCATATGCAAACATTTGTAAACATGAAGACACACACACACACACACACACACACACACACACACACACACACACACACACACACACACACACACCAGGTCCAGTGGTGCACTCTTAGAAGCAGGAGGATCAGAAACGCAAGGCCAGTTTCAGCTACATATCAGGTGAAAGGCTAACTTGGGCTATATGAGACCCTGTCTCAAAAAAAAAAAAAAAAAAAAAAAGGAAAACACACACACACAAACAAAACAAAAGAACAGGAAAGAAACAGTAGCCCACCCTCTCCACATCATACTACCACTACATGTCAAAACATAAACTATGAACTGCACAGTGATGGCTGCCTTTCTCAGAATCTGTGGATCTACTGGGCACAAACCACAGGGAAACAGTTGTGATGACATTGTTGAAGGAAGAGACAGGACAGAGGCTAGAAATATCTCAAGTGTATCATCAGTCTTTTCCAGGTTTGACAGGAAAACAAAGTGTGGTACACACACACACACACACACACACACACACACACACGCATGCATGCACGCACGCACGCACCCCTTCCTCTCGCTTGTGCTTTATGAACGAAAAAGCCTTAGTTCTGTGAATTCAGGCAGTCACTGCAAATGTGTCTAAACAGGACCTTGGTGTGCTTCATCAATCTGATCATCTACTCACATTAACACACTCTGTCAAATACTAGGTTAGGCTCTCAACAGACCCCAGGATCTTAGGTCTGTAAGTGTGTGTGTGTGTGTGTGTGTGTGTGTGTGTGTACATGTGCACATATGTGCACACACTTGTGCATAGGCCCATGATTCTAGTAAAGTCTCTGTTCATGTCAATAAAGTGTCTCTGAAGACCACACACTCTGGGTGTGCTCTGCTTACAATATGCGGCTGCTGCCTGCTCTGCCTCCCACCTAGCATGCAATCCGCCCCACTTCCTGAACCGAGGAGACTTACCCTAGAGAGTGAAAACTACTTTGAAGTCTAGAGACTGCATGCTACGAATGGCATCTGGCCTTCCGTTCCTCTCTATCTTCCACGCAAACACAAGAGAACACAGGAGAAACGTGCACTCGTGTCTAGCATCACACACTTCCTAACCAAGTGTGAAGAGGCTAACCGGGAGGGAGATCTAATGTAGGGACGGTCAGGTGGCTTCGCATTTAGGGAGCATAAAGGCGACTCTGTCTTCCGGTATCTAGCTTCCTAAAAGGGCCAAGATCCCCTAAAGGGAAAAGCATAACAAGAAACTGAGGATTCAGTCCACCACAATGGGTTGTGGGATTTTGTTTTATTTTGTTTGAGGGAGACCTTGAGGCAAAGGGTTCTCTGTGTAACCCTGGTTGTCCTGGAACTTGCACTGTACACCAGGCTAGCCTCAAATTCAGAGATCTGCCTGCCTCTCAAGTGCTGAGATTAAAGATGTGTGACGCCACACCCAGCTTCACCACAACTCTTACAACAATGCTGACTGAAAAGGGGTTTGGAGAGATGGCTTAGTGGTCCATGGTGCTTGTGGCTCTTCGGGAGGATCTCAGTTTAGTTTCCAGTACCCATGTCAGATGGCTCACAATCACCTGTAACTCCAGCTCCAGGGGATCTGATATCCTGTCTTGTCCTCTGAAGGCACCTATACTATACTCACAAGCACACACAGACATGAACGTACACACATAATTTAAAAAATAAATCTTTGAAAAATATATGAAGGTTAAAATTATTGTAATACAGTTCTAGCTACCATACTAAGAGATAGATACATGTGTGTCTTTATAAAAGACATTATTCCTAAACACTGAGGATTGAAATGACAGATGGAACCCACGGCCACACCACTGCTTAATAGTGACACATTAGTGTACTCAGGAATGACAGTTAAAGCTCTCCTCCTCCAAGGCTCTTGACACACTGAAGAAGGGGTAGAAAGATTATAGGATCCAGGATAGAAATGAGTACTGTTTGCCCACTGATCATGATTACATAGTATCTGCTTAAAACCTGAGCAAGATAGGGCCTTTTATTCCATCCTGGATGGGGTAGAAGCTCATGAGGCCCAACCCCTCCCTGAGGATCTATTGGGGAGAGAGAGTTTTCTTCAGTGGTGTAGCTACTGGTAAGTTGCTCAGGCTTCAGTAAGCAGCCCCCCACCCATGCTTATACATCAACCTATTGGACCCAGTGAGTTACAAAGGCACGAAGGCAGGAGGGAGAACAAGCATAGATAGGAGGGGTAACGAGGGCAATGGAGTCAGATAAAAATCACAATGCATTTTATAAGCCTGTATGAACTTGTCAAAAATAAGAAGTAACAAACACGAAGTAAATAAAAAATCAAAACCCTAGCCCTTCCATTTAATCAGGCTGCTTCCCTCCCCGAGATGGAGGTGTGTTATGTGGGCAACATGCCTGTACACACATGCCTTCGTGACTTGCTGTGAGCATATCTAGGGGCATCGGACACATGGGGGTGAGGGACTGCCGATGGGCCAAGCAATAAACACGCACACCATTTCTTATTTGTAATTCAATACTTTTTTCCTTTAATTCATACTGGGCTTCCATGGCTCTAGCTACTTTACATTAAGATTCGGCTGGGTAGCCGTGTATGTCTCTAGGTACTAGCAGTATTTTTCAGACCTTGCGCACAGCGCCAGGCAAAGTACAGTTATAGATCCGAATACAGTCGGCCAGACAACTCAACTGCAACCAACCTGTGCTCTCTCCCACTTGTGGCCCAGTGCAGGTGTTGGGTGCTGCTCCCTCTGCCTCACCCTTTTCCTCCCCGTGTCAGGGTTATCCATGGGCCACTATGGCCTCTGATCCATCCCTCCCCACCTCAGAGTCTAGGTTGAGTGAGGGGGGAAAAAAGCACCATGGGTTTGGGAAGATGGTCCGGTCCATGCAGAGAGTGGTCTGGCCCTACAGTGCAAGGGAAGGAGATGTGGGGTGCCACACATTCTTGTTGGCAAAAGTGACTGTTTTACTGTGCAGTCTCTGCACACAACACAGAAGCCCAGGGCCAACTCCCCAGACAGCCTGAGGTCCTGCCTGGAGCGAGGGCCGCCGTTTCCATTTTGCTTCTGAGGTGTCTTATTGTACTGAGAGAGAAGCAAGGAGGACCAAAGGGCAGAGATGACAATGTCCGTTAAGCATTCACATGCTGGGGAGATCGTCTGGCATCGGCAAATCTTGGCAGCTAAGTGCTTCTCGCCAGCAGCCAAGGCTCCAATCCGGGCTCCCAGGCCTGCTGAGGACCTCCAAGTCATAAGACCCCTGAGCTGTGGTGTGGCACATCAGAACAGGGAGCTGGCTGAGCCCATCACAATGGCTGGAGCAGGAGTGAGGTAACGAGGCTGGGCAGAGAGGTGGGAGAGGGAGCTCTCTACACCAAGTGCAAAGCCCTGCTTCATACCAGGAACGCAGGGATGTTGAAAGATGGCCTTCCAAAACCCACTCCTCTGAGACCCAAATGCATCTTCTGGAAGAAGACTTGGAGATGGAAGGGAGTGGGGCCAGTCTGCTGGGGCAGGTGGGAGTGGAGAGCCAAGGGCTGAGAATGGCAAAGGGAAAATGGGAATGATTGCCCCATGGCTTAGGAACAGGGATGGGGCTGGGGGAAGGGAGAGAGTCCTGGAGAGGGCAGGCAGAGTCCAGGTGTGTAGGAAGGGCCACCATAGCCCTGCCACCCGGGGGAAGATTGAAGAGTGCTATTTCTCCTACGCCCTGGTGAGCGGGGCTGGCTTCGGCTGCCCTGCAGAGCCAGGGAAGCGGGATGGTATGGCACAGAAAGGACCCTTCTGGGAGCAAACAGTCCAGAAAGAGTCTTCCCCTAGCCAGTCCTTTCCCCAACACCTCATCTTACAGACGCTGTCTGTAATAGTGGTCCAGTCCCAGCATAGGAGAGGCTATGGGCAAGTAGAGAATCCGTTCGTGGCAAATTCCTCTTGAGGTTCCCTGGTGCTCCCCACTCCTTGATGCCAATGTCCTAAGGCAAGCCAAGGATTTTAGCAGAAGTTTCCCAATTTATCCAAACCACGACAGGGTTTTGGCTGAGCAAAACAGAAGTTCTAGAACTGGGAATGGCTTTTTCCCATTGTGTCCTCCACCAGTGAGGAAGGAGTATGGACAGTACAAAGGATTCACAGTGCCTGGAGGTGGAAGATGGCCTCAGTCCAAAATGCTACTCTTCTTGTCGTTATCCTCTAAGTGTAAAGTACACTAAAACTAGACCAAAGGAGGAAGGACCGGTCTCCTGGGTTAATGCTGAGCAAGGCTGTCCCTGCCGCTGGGGTGCCCTAGACCTCCTAGCCAAGAACATGTCCCTGGCAGGGCATCTTCCAAAACTGGAAACTCGGCATCTCCCTAGCCTCTTGCCTAATCTCTGAGTCAAGGCCAAACCTAGAACCCACATTAGAGGTCACTTACTGACCCTCTCCTGTTACAAATGGATCCTGAAGTTCAGTGATGGGGACTTAACCAAGGCCACACAACTTTTCAACAGCACAGTCAGGAATCAAACGCAGATCTCTCCACTCTAACTTCAGTAAAAGCACTTGACTGTTTTGATAACCAAATCCTTAAAGAAAGATCAATATATATCTACAATAAATAAATAGATGAAACCTGCCAGCTGGAAGAAGTCACACAAAGCATGGCCTGCTGCAGATGGTTGCTACTTGTTCAGGGCAATTGTTTTGGCTGCAAGGGTGAGTTTCTTTCTCTTGCAATGACTAAGGGTGGGGAGGGGATTTTGTAAGTTGTTGGTTCCTTCCCGGTTTAAAAGCCCAAGCTAATGTTAAGACAAAAGCAACTCAGAGGAAAGCCATGGTTCCTGGATGCTGTTCTTCATGTATATATACTATCTGGTCCATTGGAAAGCAGGAGGCTCGCTCTCTCTGACAAATGAGGTGTTCTCCTCCCCTGAATGATACTGCAGGCCAAAGAAAAGCAGCTCTCTGTGGTCGGGGCTATTTCTGTTACTTTACTCACCCCCAGTGAATACCTTTGAAATCATCCAAAAAGATCCACTGCTACTTTAACAGTTCAACTGAAGTAAATAACTACATATGCAATAAATTTGAGAATTTCCAACTTTGCTTTCAGAGTTTCTGGGAATACTTTTGGATTCTGGCTATTCCAAGGGGAAACTGAAAAGCATTTCAAATGGTACTGTTTGCCCTTCTTTGTCTCGGGTCTTGAAAATTCCTCAAAACCCTGAAAAACCAACTGGTCTTCCGGCCTTGACCACTGTAGAGGAACAATGAATCCATTTCCTCACCCCTGTTATTCCAGAAAAGTGCTAATAATAATGGTAGCTAAGCACTGAGCCTTCTTCTCCCTTCGTCAGAGGATGATCCAAGGATATATGCTATTTCCTGATTCTGCCCTTCAAGAAACACCAGGACCTGCTTCTCCAGGACACTGCAACATCAATGCCTTCCTTTCACGGCCCAACTGGAATGCCTGGACAATGCTAAGAGGGGAAAGTAACCTTCTCTTTGGCGTAGATAACCAGCACCATCTTGCTCTCTTTGTAGGGATACTCTGGGGAGCCTGGGGTTCCTTCTGCCTCTCAACTTGAGAAGCCCAGGAGAAGAAAAGTCCAGCTTAGAGAAGCCTTTGCTCCAGCAGCAACTCTTTACCACTATGGATCTCCATGGGCTCTGCCTGGGGCTGGCAGGATTCCTTGAGTCATCGGATGGAAGAGGAGGAAATACTGTAAGGGAGAATGACGAATCTGCCCAGAAGGGTCCCTTGAGAGTATATAAAAGCCTGAGTCCTGATGGGCTACCATTAAGAAGGCCCTGGCTAGTTCAAGTTCCTAACGTAGCATCTTCCTTTTATTTCTTGGTGACTTTATACCTTACTGAGGCCAGAGACTAGAGAGAGATACACACACACACACACACACACACACACACACACACACACACACACACACACACACGTCAGAACCACCACTCCCAAACCTGAGAAACATAGAAATGAGGTGGCCTCAGTGGGGGCCAGGTTTCACTTGACTTCTCCCTGACCAAATATACGCATCTGTGCCAAATCCTCCCTCTGGTGGCTCATACATTTCCCACACAGTGGCATACAACTGCCTCTATTGCTAACACTGGTTCTTTACCAAAAGTTAACGGTGCTGTTAGCACTCTGAGAGGCTTGGCTACTGTGCACACTACTCATACAGGATTCTGGGCAAGCCCTGCAATCCACATTTCTAGATCATTCTGTCTCCCAAAGCCTGGAGGGACTAGGATACCCTGACTTACCCTGGACATCAAACTCACAGCTCAAAGGGAAGAGTTAGAGCCACAGACCTGACTGGTTTATAACCACTAAAAGAGGTTTTGGGGGTTTTGTTTCTTTTTTTTTTTTTTAACAAGGTCAAAAAGGCTCCACCCTGGCTAAGGAACAATGTGCTCTTAGGGCACAGAGAAACAATAGGACTTTAGGCACTAAAAAGTGACACTTCCCCCAGATCCAGCCTGGGAGAAGACCAGAGAGAAAGGAAGTAGGAGAGTTAGAGATTCCCAGCCCTTGTGGGGGGTCCACAACCTACTCAGGTCAGAAGGTGTGGGGGTGGCTGAGGAGAATTCCCTTCAGATGCCAGAGCTCAGGAGCCTACAGCCCCACAGCCCTGGCTCACAGATGCAGCCTCTGTCACAGTCCTCGCCACCTGGCTTTCAGTGTGGTCCTAACCAACAGTCTCCTGGGGGACACTGAATGGGGCTCCTGCTCTCTCCATTCTTCCTGTTCCCAAGAGAAGGCCTGGGGAAGCGCTGGGTGGGGGGAAGAACAGGTTCTCTTTTATTCTAGAGACAAATCAAAAGAGGGTTAGGGAATGAAGCACCTTAAGCAATGCCTTCTTGAGCGTCTTTTAAGACCCAAGGGTCTTCACGGGCATTAACTTTGGCTTAGCCACATTTCCCTTCTAAGGGCCAAGAATGGCCAGCAAGGGAAGGGATGAGGAACAGAAGGTGGGAAGAGGAGGATCAGGGGAGGTCGGTGCTGAGAGGTGGTCCCTGCCCTCCTCAGTCCCTCCACAGTGGAGGGGAAATGCTGCTCTGGCCGGCACAGGGGGCGGGAGTTCCCGCTCCTTCTCCCTGGTACATAGGCATTATCTCTTTTTTAAAATCTGTATATAATATATATTTATATTCTGTATGTATATATTTATATATATTTATAGGGTCTATGTACATGTATTGCACAGGCCTCTGGCAGCCACCCCTGGTCCTGCCTTGTCAATGATAGCGGTTCCTCTTCTCGTCGCTGTCAGTCGTGTAGTCTCGGGACCTGATGCCATTCTGAAGGTTGATGAGTGAGTCCTTCATCTGTAAGACAGTGCTCCCAGTGAGCCGCCACAAAGCGGCAGCTGCCACACCCATCTGTGGCCCATCCCTCACCATGGCACAGAGCCAACAGAAACCAAGTCCAAAGCAAGGGTGGTTCCCAGGAGTCTCAGCCTGAGGCAGAAAGGGCTCAGCTAGTCCCAGCACTGGAAATCCCTTAAGTTTGGTTATTTGTGACTCTTAACATCAGTGAGTCACAAATACCCAGTCGCTCTAAGGAGCAACCCTAAACTATCACTTTCTTGACCTTCAATTCTGATCCTGAATATACCTTTGTCCTATCTTTCTCCTAGCCAGGGATGCTTTCCAATTTCCCCGCTCCAGTTCCGTCCAGCTGGAAAGAACCAGAAGCAACACAAACTCTCTATGGTCACAGTCATCCTTTGCCTCCTGGCCTGTCAGACACACAGGGTCTCCTGCCTGTCCCCTCGGGAGCTGCTTCACCTCCTGTTTCTTAGAACTAAAGCCATCCTGCCCTTCCCAGACATACACAGCGGTGTCAAGCAGAGAGGAGGCAGGTGCTTGATCAGCTCCACAGCAGGAAATTAATATTCTGGGGTCATGGAATGAGGTCCAAGAGGGGCAGCTCAGGTTGGAGGGTCTTCTAATAGTCCATACCATAGCAGCTTGTTTAAAAACTGAGTAAGCTACTCTGTTACAATGGCAAGGTGATAGTCCGTCTTGATGCACTGAGAACTAACTCCTGGTCTCTGCATCATCTCCTGCTTTGATCTCTCCAGTTCTGAATCAACTCATCGGGTGGGAAAGGGGGCCAGTTTCTGTTCTGTGCATGAGTGTACATGTGGAGTTCAGAGGACAACTAGCAGGAGTCTCTCCTTCCACCTAGAAGTAAAAACCCAGGCTTCCAGGCTTGGTGGCAAGCACCTTTAACAGCTGAACCATCTCGCTGGCCCCTCAAAGAAATCTGATACACACGTCCTCTAGGAAGACAAATTGCTACACAGGATTTCTCTATAAGAAAAGTCTGTCCTACATCCCTCTGGCTATTAATCTGTCTCCTGCTATTGTTGCTTGTGTTTCTAATACTTCATGGAGGAAAAGCTTTAAAGGGAAATCAAGGGATGGGCCAGAATAATAGCAAAGAGGAAGCGGACATCAGAATGGTGGAGAGGGGACACAATGACATCTCTCAGTAAAGAGAGAGCCTAGTCTCCTAAAGATGCAGGGCTGTAAGCATCTTACCTGGTCAAGGAGCATCACTGAGGATTTGATGATCTCCCTCCACTTCTGGAGCTCAGTGTCATGGTACTTTTGTTGGGATTCTAATAGCTGGGCCCATTCTGTCTGAGACTGGGGTAACCTGTGGGGTAGAATAAGGAGTATCCAACAGCTGCAGTTACACTCAGTGTGCTGGTCTGTGCTCCCAAAGGACACAAAGTCACATCAGAATGCTTTCTCTTCTGCTCAGTGCCCCAGGGTCCCCACTATCCTGAAACTTAGGCTGAAACGCTAAGGACAGATTTCTAGAACCAGACTATAGGTGCATATCAAAGGGGTGTCCCCTGAGCACAGGCAATGGGACAGTCCCAGGCAACTGGGTGGGGTTCAGGTGGGGACAGAGAGGTGAGGCCAAAATATTACCTTTCCTGGAGCCTAAGACCCTGCCAGGCAGTCAGGGTCTGTGTGGTGTATTCCAGCATCCACAGTTTGTAAAAGAGCATCATGTTAAGGATGACCAGCAGCACCAGACTGGGAGGGAGACACGGGAAAAGTAAGGGCAGTGAGATGGAATCTGAGCTCTCCCCACCTACCCATGAGTCCATGAGCCTGCTTGCTGGGCCAACCCAAGCATTACAGAGGGTGAGTTAGTTAAAGGGGCGCAGCAATGGTCGGAGAAAGAGAAGCATCCTAGTCTACCAGGTCAGTGACACCGCAGGAGAGCCATGGAGACAGGTATAAGCAAAGGTACGGAAGGCACTGGAAGGCGAGGCACAGGCACCCGAGTGTGGGTGCCCGGAGGTCAAACGGCATAGGTGGAAGGGAAAAGCGATGAGGTACAGGGAACAATCACAGAGCTGGTACCTGAAACAGATCCTAATGGGAGCAAGGGAGAGAAACGGGGAGGAGACAGAGGTTAGAAACAGGAGTGTGGGGAAGGAGGAAATGCACTTCAATGGAGCCAGAGAGCAAGGGGGCGTCTATGAGGAAAACAAAACAAACAAACAAACAAACAAAAAACACAAGAAGCAAAGACGCAGTGGACAAGGCAGACAGGCAAGGAAGGATGCGGGGAAGTAGCTGCAGATTTAGTGTTCCAGGGGCTCTAAATCAAGTGATTCCTCTATCCACCCAAAGTCACGCCTTACGTGAAGGGCGGGACTGCTATGCCTTATGGGTACTGGCACCTCCCTGAGGCTACAGTGCCTTCCCCCTCTACCTACCAACTGTCTGGCAGGGATCAGAAGCAAAGTGGGGCAGGGATGGCAGGGTGGGAGGTGGGAGGGTCCCAGGGCGGAGGCTGGGGAAATTACTTTTTCTCCACCTCAGTGGCCACCTAGGCCATTCTGTGACGGAAGCTCATGGGACAGAGCAAAAGGAGGGGATGTGGAGAAGACCTAGAGACAGGCAGAACTGGGGATGGATCTTAGTGCATCACCTACAAATCTTTTTGAGCTTCCATGGATGTTTCCCATCTGTCCTGAAATGATTTTCTCATGAGAGACATCACACCTACCCTGCTCATCGTTCTCTGGATGGAAAGGACCATAAGCTTTTAGCAGTAGGCCCAATTAAGAGCCGGTTCTTAACACGAAAGGGTTTGGCAAGGACAGGTACATGCAGGAAGAGAGAAGATGGCCAAATTGGGAAGGCAAATCGTAAGTGTAAAAGGGACCAACACAGGGAAGAAATCATGACATTTAGACTGTGCCTTAGAACACAAAGCCAGTGTGTGAAAGTGATGTCCGGAGTCTGCCTTGTTTCCCCAGCACTATGGATGGAAGTGCCCCTCTTCTGTCAGCTACAGCTCCCTGGGGCTAGCCTAAGTTCTCCATGAGAACACTCGGCTTTTGTGTTGCATGTCAACACTGCCATCTAGCGGCGTCGGCACATGCTGAGTCATCTGAATGCCCACCTCCTCAGTGGGTGCCACAAACCACCGCACACGTGGTTTGTGTATATAATCCCGGGTGTTTTCAGTAAAGGTCATGTGCTGTCTGAGGGAAGACTCCCCAGTGTGCCAACCAGAGACAAAGAGGTGGGAGGCTGAGTCACCACACTGAGGGTGGATGATGGCAAGAGCCTGCCAGACACGGGTAAGCCATGCTTTGTCAGTATGTTCTAAATGCAGGCTATTAGAGCCCCAGCATGGAGAGCATCGGGTTGAGTCAGAAGGCCCGACTATCCTAAATTTACCGCGACACAGAGTTAGCTGATGCCTATGGGATTGGTCCACATGAGTGAGCCTCCTCTATTCAAGTAAAACTGAAATGCAGAGAGAGTATAAATATGACTAAGCAAAGTTATAGACTCTTATTGACCAGTATCCAGTACCTGGAATGGTTTTAACAGTGATATGAGTCACATTACATTGGTGTTTGAAGGGTGAGCTTTATGGTAGTCTGTCCTTAACTGCCGTCATATCTTACGCTTTCATCTGAAGAACTTGCATGTATTTTCATGCTATGCCTTCAGGAGTAGCACGAACCCTTCTTATGTTCTCCACAGGCTTTTCTCCTATAAGGAGTCACAGGGTAGTCCCCAGTCCCCACTTCTGTCACATTCTATATTCGTGGTCTCATTTAAACCCATAGCTTTATTCTGTCTCCTAAGAGTCAAGCCCATATCAGCAAAGGTCTATCCTCCTCAACAGGACAACCTACTGCAACCCAGATGTTCTTGGGTTGGCCTCTGGCATGTCCTCTCTGACGACTTTCCAGAAACTCCAGATTTCTGTTGACACAAGCACCCGCAGTCCTTGCAGGCAGCCAGTCTCGCTTTGAGACGTAACTGAAGGTTCCTGAGCTCTTCCGCCTGTGACCTCTCATACCCACTCGGTAGCACACACACTGCTTCCAGTCTTTGGCAATCCATTCACGTTATCGCCACAGTGCTGGTCTGACTGTGCCACTTGTGAGCTTCCCCCAGAGTGTCCTGAGAGTAAGGATGTTCCCCTCACACCCCTCTGAGGATGCTTCAGGGAGAAGTCCAGAAGGGTCACAGAGCAAAACTGACCGAGAGGTGGTATGGTACCTGGTGGGTATTTACCGTGCCTCTCATCCACCCGTGCCATCTCCGCTCATGGCTCACCCCCAATCCAAAGGAATGGGATGCCAGGCTGCAGGCTGAGCCAAACAGAAAGGCTGTCCTTAGCTGCTCCAAATGCCTTTCGTTCAAATGGTTTTAGCATGTCCTGAGCACTGATGATGAGGACTCACATACCAGACAGCTGTGTTCTCCTATTTTATGCCTTCATTTCTTTTGGCTTCTCGTTACCTAGCTCAACTTACTGTGCAAGCTATCGACCCTATGGTTTTATAATGTTGGGCTAATTATAAGCCATCTACATTGAAATAAGCATCTGCTCTCCCTGGAACTGGGAACATTGATTTTGTCTGGCTACCCTGCCAGCGAGGACTCTGCGTATGGCTCTCTCTCCCACTGGGCACAGAGCAGACACTCAAGAGGACCTCTCATAAATTAATGGACTCTTAAAATGTCCTGAAGCATCCCTGTGTCAGGCAGCATTTCTCTTGAGGAGGGATTCTGAGCAGTCTGCAGCTCTTACCCACTGCATGCACCATTTTCCCCCTAGAAGGACAACGCACAAGAAGTGCCGAGAAGACGCAAAGGAACAGAAAAGCTAACAGATGACTGAGCGACTGATCCAGTGAGGACTAGAAGACAAGGGGCCAAAGAGAAGAGAGGGGTGAAAGTAAGGGGGAGCATATGCTTGAGGGATGAGGATGACTCTCCTGCCTGCACCAGGCAGGAGAAGGAAGATGGCAGAGCCAGAGAGGCAGAAGAACCTGGAGTCTCTTACACACAGCTGATAATAAGCAGCAGCTTGGACACACTCTGTAGGTGAAAACCGTTGGGAGTATCCTCGGGGATATGCCGTGTCTGCGTGGAACCTGTGGAAGAAGAAACAGGCTGTCGTTACCTTCACAGTCCACAAGTCCACACACTGCTGACAGGGTACCAGGGAACTGTGCATCATGCTCGCAGCGACCTTGGGCTCACATCTTGAGCCCTACAACATGCAAATCTGAGACTTGGGTCAGATAATTACTGAACAAGTGCGAAAATGTATCTATGTAACTCGGATACAGAGATGTGATTGGCTGGGGAAGACAGGCTATAATCAGCTACATGATGTCAGGGCAAGACATGTAACTTCTTTCAATCCATCTACTTAAATGTGACATCAATCATATTATCTAAAACATGTAACAATGGAGTGCTCTAGTTGAGGCTGGAATGGGGAACGCATGGGAAACAGTGGTCCTCTCCAGGCCCCACACAGCTCTTATAGACTCGCAAGCATGTACAAAGCATGCTGTGTAAAACACTGGAATCATAGTCTCTAGTCCCTTGGAGAGCCCCAGGTTTCCACGACAGAGAATATACATGAGGACTGAAAGGATGGATGACAAGAGGAAGAAGTATAAGAGGGGTCCACATCCCAGACAGGCAGGCACTTGGTGGATATGTGAGGGACAAGCGACATATTCTACTCATGGGTGTGCACATATGTGTCATGACAGAGGCATGCTGCAGCGTCATCTCATAGTCCCAACCTACACAGCCATTCCCACCTGCAACAGACATACCCGCCACGTGCTTGATCCTGTGGCCCACATCTTCATCAGTGGGTGTGGTGACAGGGCTCATCACCTCTTCCAGGTGAGGTACCCGCAGGTGGGCATGGGGGCGCTTCCTCCTCCGAACTGCTGAAGACTTATTGGCCTTCTCCTTGGGTGACTGTCTGTGCATCTCAGCCAGGTAGGTACTCTCTGTTTTGGTTAGCTCGGACTCTGTCAGACACAAAAGGTCCACGTCAGAGACATAACATAATGTCCACCGGAAGCAGCTCTCTAGGAGTACCATATTCCCATGACCGCACCCTGGGAAGCTGGCCCAGTGGGAAGATGACTCTCAAAGATGCCAAGGATTTTTGAGGCCAGTCTTGCTTAGAGGACCACGTTCCAACTTTGTACCTCCAAGAACATAATTTATATCACATATTTTCTAAATAGATGCCCTCAGGTATTTCTTATAATAAGATGACTCAATGCCGGTGTTGCTACATCTGAGGGGAGGCAAAATCACAGCCCCTCCTTAATGATCTTAAAGCTACAGACGCAGTCTCCCGGAAGATCCCATTCCCAGACATATCAAACTTGATGCTCATTTCAAGGGTAGAATTAGGGGCCCTGTGAAACCAATTCATGGTCTCAGACACCCCCGTGTTCTCCAAGTTTCCCATTCCCCTGAATGGCGGCCAGCAGCTGCACAGGCCAGCAAGGGAAGGTTCAGGATAGATGACGTGAGTACTGTGGCACCCACCTAAATGGCGGAAGTAGTCCTCCAGTCCACTCCAGAAGTTCTTCTCAATGAAAGTTTTTACAAACCCCCAGGGCTGTTTTCGATAGCGGAGCTCTGTGGAGACCCTGAGGAGCAGGCCAACAGAAACGAGATCAGCCATTCATACTGGGAAAACAGGTTTTGAAGCATAGAATAGAAGGTCAGAGGTTGGCAGTATGCGGCTATGCTGTGACTGCCTGGAGCATATGTGTGTGTAGGGAGTTGCGGGGAGGGGGAGGGATATATGCTCTGCAGCCTCCCAGCCAATCAAGAGAAAGTTTAGAAATGAAAGTCAAGCCCTTTTATTTGTTTTGTTTTTTGGTTTTTTTTGTTTGGTTTTTTTTTTTTTTTTGGTTTTTCAAGACAGAGTTTCTCTGTATTGTTTCGGAGGCTGTCCTGGAACTCGCTCTGTAGACCAGACTGGCTTCGAACTCACAGAGATCCTCCTGCCTCTCTGCCTCCCAAGTGCTGGGATTAAAGGCATGCGCCACCAATGCCCAGTTTAAGTCAAGCCCTTTTAAATCCAAGTAGGGATTCTAGTGCCTCATCATTTACAACTTTGAGTGTCTTCCCACCTGCCTGCCTCACCACGTCCTTCTGAGGGCCTCTCTCCCAACCACTGCCGTTGCTCCTGCAGTGGATCTCACTCTACCCTCCCACATGAAAGCCTTGCTCTCTGCCTCTTCCTTAGGCGTATGAACATCTGTCAGCAGACCTTCCCCAGCATAATGCCTGCACACATCAGGGCTGCTCGTCCTGACGCTCTGCCTTACCAGGGTGCTACCTTCCCCTGGGGCCTAACAGGAACATGGTCATGCTTGGAGTCTTCTTACATTCCCACCCAACATCTGTTTTCTGCATGGAGAATAGGCTAGCTCCTCCTGCGAATGTCTAGCTGCCATCAACCATGATGATTTTCAAATGTGTGTGTGCTGATTTTATAATTGGACTGCACACTTGCTGCAGTGTCATGGTTTGTATTTCTCCCTTCCTCTAAGTGGGCATCACTGTATCCAGAGCTAATTTCCTCTGACTGAGATGCAGAGAGCTGGTTGTGTTGGTCAGGATTAGGTTAGGTTTTTAGGAATTCATTGGCCGACAGTGGACACAACGGGAAATCCCATCACATAGGGCATGGGGCAAGGGGAGCAGGGTCCTATTGCTATGAAGTCAGTATGAACTGGGGTACAATTCTTGGCAAAGTCACCCTTCCGATAAATGAGGATAACGTGTTTCCTTGGGTTATTCTAAAAAAAGCCCAATTGATGTAGTTTACTTCCCTCTGTAGTTCCATTTAAAGCATACAAAATGAACAGCAGGCGTGGTGAAGATCTTCCAAAGAAGATGCAGAGAGCTCGAGGCAACACAGGGTGGAGAAGAATGAAGTCAGGTCGGGAAGGCGAGGAGTCGCAGAAAGACTCGGGGAGGACATACACGTGAGAGTGTGCCAGATCTCCTTCTCCCCAAGGGGCAAATGGGCACTGCATAATTTGGGAGCCTTTCCCCACCTACATCCACACAAGCCTTCACACCGCACACACCTGAGTCGACTCTTGTTCCGGGCCACGCGGGTGAGCGTGTAGCGATTGATGGTGTAGAAGTAATCGTGGTATGGCACATCGTGGGTAAGGACTTCAGCATCTATCACGTAGCATTCACTCTCCTGACTCGCTTTGTACATGGTCTGTGGGTAGGGAAGCACATTGACCAAAACTGAGGAGAAGTCAAATGGGAACATCACCTTTCCCCATGTTTCCGCCCCTGGGGTGCCGGATGGAAAGCGTGACATCACTTGACTTGGCAGCATCTCAGCTAGTGGGATGCCGCTGCCTCTGGACTAAACCAAGCCTGGATGCAGCGGCACCTCCCAAGTCCAGCTTAAATCCAGCTTTCATCCCTCGGGATGTGACAGCACTTCCAAACACACTCTACACTCGGTTCTTTCCTTCCCGCTCACCTGTGTCTCCCTGACAGTGGCGGTTTTGGGAGCCAGGGGGTTGGTAAGGGTGATGGTGTAGAGGATCACACGGCTCTGGTTTCCATTCTCCTCCTTTTTCCATGGGTGGAAGATGATATCTGAGGGTAGAGAAGAGCCCTAGGATGAGGGGGTGGGGAACAGCACAACTCCACTAGCCTGAATCTCCCCTCCAATGGACTCCTTGCTGTGCGCTGACTACTGACAGCCAGCCGCTCCCCTGGAAACCAATGGGAGTTTGAAAGTTGGGGGAGGAGGTGACGAGGAGGTGGAGTTGGAGCAGACAGGAGCCCATTGTGGCATTGCCGAAATTCTACAAAGAGCTCCAGAATGCTGATTGTTCCAAGGCTGGGGCAGGAGGGCTCGGGGCCACCTGCGGGGGTGCAGGCAACATTGGAATCACTGTGGCAAGGGTATCAGATCCCTAGGGAGTGTGGCACCCCATGACCTCAAGGTGCCTCTCCTTGCAGAGGGTGCCCTTGTTGCCTAGAGCTTTTGCTCAGAGGGGATGACTGGCATCTCTGAGAGGCAATCTGTGCTGTGGGAAAAACTAAGTGAGAGAGAGAGAGAGAGAGAGAGAGAGAGAGAGAGAGAGAGAGAGAGAGAGAGAGCAGAAGCTGAGCCCCCAGGGTACCAGATATGGATCCTCACTGGGCCCTTCTAGGCTACTTTCTACATGCTGATAAATAACAGCCTGGGCTTCGGATTTCTAACACTCCCAGTGCGAGGAGCCCCAAGGCCCGCACACGGAAGCACAGCTGAGGACTGAATGAGCCGATGCAATACACTCAGTACAGTGGGTGCCTCCCAAACAGCAGAGCAGCTTCCCTACAGTCGACACAGAGCCCTGTGGGGACAAAGCTGGCAGGGCCTGCTCGCTGGGGAATCTTTGGAGTCTGGTGGACAGTGGGCACATGAAAACCTGATGTACTAGTGACAGAGAGAGCCAGAGTATCTATCCTAGAGGACGTCTGGCAGCACATTTGGCCAGAAAGAGGAGCCTGTGACACCGGGGAAAGAACAGCATATGGAAAGAGGGAGGCAAGAAGGAGAAGGAGGAGGATGTACAATGGAGAAAAGCATGGACATTGAGGGAGGGGCTAGCCCGCAGGTCAGACCAGAGAAGCGCCGCTGCTCCATGAAGTCCCGGAGGAAGGGTGAGTTGGTGAACAGCAGGTCATAGAGTTTGTCCACGCTGAAGTTGAAGACCTCGTTCACATACTGTCTTCCACTCAGGTCCTCATAGAAGGCCTGGACCTCTCCTGTGCAGAAGAGTGGATGAAGAAGACAGTGACTGAGGAGGACAGAAAGCTGTTGTGACAACCCAGGGGGCACTGATATCTCTGTGGCAATGTGGGAACCACCTCCAAAGGAAGGGTGACTGGGATCATGGGCTCGCTGTTAATGCTCTTGCCCCTTCCACTTCCCGTCTCCGGGACGTTGGCTGCCTGGTCTGGGGTATGCTCTGAGATTCAGAACCCAGATTCTCACTTCCTTTCATGCTACGTGATGGAGAGAGAGGTAAAGGGATGCTCCAGGCGCGTGCTCAGAGGCTCACCTTCATCGTGGGTATCTGAAGAGTCGCTGAGCTCGGTGGGGATATCCTCATTGTCATTGAAGTCCAGCGAAGGGGAGGTCACCGGCGCAATGATCTCAATCTTCTCGCCTATGATGCTGTCGATGGCAAGCTCCTTCTCCAGGGACCCATCGCCCTCCATCACCTCTTCCTCCAGCGGCAAGCCATCAAACTGCAGTGGAGACCAAGAGTCACCCACCAGGGTCCCTCTCTGTGGATCAACTCTTCCAAAGGAGACCAGCAACCCAGCCTTAGATGCCATCCCATTCCCAGCAGCAGAGCTGTTCAGGAGCAGACTGAGGTCAGGTGCCAAGACTGAGAGGGGGCACAGAACCGAGCACTCACTGTCCTTTGCCTGCCATCCAAACGGCACCCTGGCCGACGAGCGGCACTCCCCTTCTAGGCCCTTTCTGGAGCTCTACTGCTCCCATGCTGCCACAATGCCAGCCTGCCTAGAAACAACACCCCTGTCCTCGGAATCTTGGAGGGCTTCATGGGCGAGTTTGGGGCTTCATTCTCTCACTGGCACCAGAAGGGAACCGATGCTATTTTAAAGCTAATCTCAGAAATAGAAAATGAAGGCTAGGCATCAACGACATTTTCATTCTAAGGCTGGTTAGCCTGGTCACCAGATGTGAAAGAAAGGTTCCCTCTTTTGAGAGTCCTTTCCCAAGGAACCCAGTCCCTTCTTGGTGACATATTCTAACCCTCCAGCAAAGTTCTGGTTTCTTTGCAACAGTGTTCCAGAGGAGAAAGGTACTCACAGACATTTTATATAGCCTCCATAAACCCTAGCAAAGGAACTTATCAACAAACATTCATGACATACGTGAATAAGCAATTAACTATCCTATGGTTCTATATTCATGTGTGATTTTGACTTTGGATCAAGGCAGGGACGCAGGGATGGGGGCGGGTATCCAAAAGCCAGGAAGGTTATCAAAAAAGAGAGGCTGTCTGGAGTATTCTACCAAGAGCTACACTATGAGAAGACTTAAAATACTTTTTAACTTCTCGTTTGTCAAACCAAATCATGTAAACAAGGTGCTGAAAATCTAGTTCTGGGCCTTTGGAATGTACCATAGCACTAAGAGCTCACGAGTTCTAGGATGCTCCTTTTGTCATGGTGACCACACAGAACCCCTTCCTACCTCCCTGCTCCCAGTGGGACTCATGTAGGGTTCATTAAACTAGGAGACAATGGCCACTAATTGGGGCAGGGATTTGCCCAGAGTGGACCACCCATACCGAGACCGGTGCTTCACTGCTTCCCGTAGAGGTCAGTGTGCTGTTGGTGATGGACTTCTTGGGCAGTTGGGGACTGGCATCAGGCTTGGTCTCTATGCTACTTTTGGATGAGCTGTCATTCACTTCATTCTCTTCTACAGGGATCTCTTCACAGTACCTAGAGAAGACACACACCCCCACCCACGAGCTTAGGTTACTCCTCGTGGAGAAAATCACCAGCTAGTCTAAGAACGTAGACCCGTCTATCGGTCTGAAACGATGGGTTTTCCTGCTTCTTCTCTTTGTATGCGACTTTGTGCCAACCAAAAAAGCTGCCCAACCAAAGCCTCATTCCCTTCTTATCCCACCTCTCCCTATCCTAAAACTTTTACCTGAAAACTCACCTTTTCTAGACCCCCTCTTTAGATGCATGTCTACATAAACAAAACCTCATCTCATCTTACTCTCTTCTGCTGCATCCCCATGCCAATCGTCTGAATCTAACATCTGGGCTCTGAGTACATGCTTCCTGTCTCAAACATCAACTCCCAAGACTGTACTCTGAATACAATACTCCCTCAGTAGTACTGCCCAAATCATAGATCATAACTAGCCAACGTCTCTTTACTGTACATCCCAGATGAAGGTAGGTATCGTTCAAGAGACACTACAAGAGTGCCACTGTCACTAACCTCACAGTGGTTGCTGGCACTAACATCTGCCTTCTACATTTAGTGGCATCTGGATATATCACAGCTCCCAATAAATCATTATGTACATTTAGACATCAGAAAACAGGGTGTGACAGAGCTAACATGAAAGCAATATTAATGCTGTTTCAAACCAAGGTCTAAGTACCCTCAATGCTCTTGCCTTGTTTTTTTTTTTTTTTTTTTTTTTTTTACTAGCTTGTCACAACATTTGGTCTCCACACACCTAACTGCTGTCAGTCACTAGCTCTTCCCATCTTTCTAACCTACCTGCAGCATGTAATGCAGTGAGAGCCCCCATCCTTAACTTCCTGAGCTTAGCTTCTAGTGCGAAACTCGCCTTCCTTTTTGGATGTTCTTTCTCTGCTTCCCTATCTTGCTGGCAGCTTCCAAGCCTAGTCCTTGAATGTCGTTTTACACTTGCTCCCTTGGAGGACTGAGCTAACTGCATGGTTATCCAAGAGTGACTCAGCCTTATAGTCCTGGCCCAAACTTCCCCATGAACCCAACAGCCAGCCTCAGCAGCCTATTTGATCTATCCCCCTAACTAGCAGGCGTCCCCATTTGCCTAAAACCAACCTTCTAATCTCAAAATCTTCTGCCAACAACATTCCCCATCTCATGTTTGGAACCACTCCAAAAGAGATACACCAACAAACTTTAAATCAAACCTGGGATTTGTTTCTGAGCATCTTCAAATCCTTCAAAATACTTTGAGGAACTAATTACTGACAGACCTACTACAACCACCACAACTGTCTATCCTCTAAATTATCATCTAGTGACCTTTCAACAGGTCCCTCATGTTCTCCACCTGAGTGTTTTTCCAACACAGAAGCCCTACTGGTCCTGTTTAGATGTTAACTCAGAACTTATCAACTGTCTATTACAAACCTGCCCATTCCTTTCTGCCTAAAAGCCAACTGTCACACTGGCCAAAAGACTACTACTAGCCCTGCTCTCTTGACCTCCTGGCTTCATCTCTGACAACTACTGTTACTGTTACTGTTCCCTTCATTGGTTCCTGTAGGGTGATACTCAGATACCATTTTGCAAATGAAGTCTTCATTGCCATTCTGATCCCCATATCCTTTGGGAAGCTCACCAAGGCCACACTCACCCCATGGTGTTAAAGTCATCATCTGGAGGCACGTAGTCCTCATCGTCACTGGTTAGACCCAGCTCGTTCCCATAGCACTGGTGGACAAAGTGCCAGAGCTCCTTGGGGCATAGGGGCTGCAAGAGATAAGAGCAATGACCCCAATCCTCCTTCCCTCAGGTCCCACCATTCAGCACAGGAGCACTAAGCCAGGCTTGGCCCCTTTAGGGGGAAAGAAGCCAAAGGACTCTCTTCCCAAATGAATAGAGAGGACATCTCTATGACAACACCGCCCACCTCAGATATCCCTGTCAGATGCCAGTTGCCTGCCTGAAAATGTAGATTCCAACAAAACCAAGGATGTCGACCTTTCTTGCCTGTCCCTTCAATGGAGCTTTGTAGAATGGGATTAATCGACCTTCTGAAGATGGGAAGCAGCCCTGCACTTGTATTAATACAGGGCCACAGTTATCTCTAAACACCCACAGGTACACTGATTCAGTCTTGCAACACCCCAGCCCTCTCCTGACAACCTGAGCATTTCCTTCTTCATTCTGAAGGGCAATCAATATGTGTACAATACTGTGTCTAGTTTTCAGTGTTTGCATATCAAGAAGGTGTCTATTTGTCCTCTTTAAAAATGCAGCCCTAATAAAAGCTAGTTTTCATAGGGTACAATTTCCAGAGAGAATCAAGGGAAAGAAACTAAGAAACAAAGTCAAAGAAACTAAGATCATGGGTAAAAACCATTATTGAGTCATAAACTAGAAAAAAAGGGAAGAAAGAGGTACTGACAAGTATATGGGAAGAGAGGGTAAGAGTGTAAGAAAAACAGATGTAGCCAAATAACTAAGAATAAATAAATAATTATAAATTCAAGAATCCTGACACCCGACCTTCTAAATAATATGAGAGGCCTCCAGACCCACACTTTGAAGGAATGGTTTAGGCATCTAGAAAAATACCTTAAGTCAAATTTCCAGTTTTCTGATTTAGTAGAACCATCTAGAATGACAGGTGGGTCCTGCTTCTCTACCAGCAGGTGTGGAATGCTAGCTTTCAGTGATGACTATAAGAAAAACTCCTTCATCTCTTATCTAGACCTCCCTTTGTATCTCTACCTACCTACCTACCTACCTACCATCTATCTATCTATCTATCTACCTACCATCTATCTATTATCTATCTGTCTGTCTGTCTGTCTATAGATCCATCCATCCATCCATCCACTGACAGAGGAACTTTATGCCCACTTCCCCTTCAGGGCTTACCTTTTCAAGGAGAGCATTCTGCCAGAGTCGGAACATCATCATGTATGTCCTATCCCGGGCCCCGAATGAAGTAAAAAAGTGCTAGATTGGAGCAGAAAATGCAGAGAAACATCAGTGAAAACTTACAACATAGTGAATGGAAGCACGGCCCTCCTTTCTTTCATTCAAAATACTCAGCCTCAAATGCTACTGACTGTCACTTACCCAAAATTGTCACACAGTGGGGATCTGAAATCTCTAAGTCTTCACTGTAACAAAGTCCTTCAATATTTTACCCAGACTCTTTACTGTATTTTTTTACTCCAGTTATAAACTATCTGTCTTCAAAAAGATAAAATTTCTTTGCACACCAACTGGAACTGGACAAGAGGTGAGCTGGGATACAGCATAAACAGGATGAGACAAACTTACTGACCCACCAACCTTCAACTAAATCTAAATATGCATATGAAGGCTACCTAACATAGTCCACAATCGCAAGACTCCAAACCAGGTGTTCTAGCTCAACGTTCCAAGTTCTAACATGCTACCCTAAGCCCTTGCTCAGCCTTGAACCCCCTGCTCACCCAGGGAGTATTTTCTAGAACTTGTACCATGCTTACTGCCTGCCACTTCAAACCCATTAGTCCAAAGTATTCTCACCCTTAAATCACCTTAGTGAAAGTGGGGAGATGGGGAGTGGGATACGGGGTGGGGTGCCTGGGCAGAAAGGTCAGAACTTGACAACACTCACCTTTTCTGAATCAGTACAGACTTGTATGGCGTTGGGAATGAGGCGAGCTGTTTTCTCTTTAGTCATAGAGCAGATGTCTTTCAAACGGACTGTCAGCTGGCATCCCCGTGGTGACAAGAGTAGGAAGCAAAAGAAGGTATTAGTACAATCAGGCAAAGAGTGTTCGCGTGACACTAGCAGTTGCCAGACAAAATCAAAATCGCAGTTCTCATACCTCTGGCCCCAGAAGGGACCAATTCAGAGATCATACAGTTTATACCTTATGCCACAGAAGTCATGCACTAAGGAACAACTGGGTCTTGTCTCCAGCCACAGGTACCTAGATTCTACAACCTGATACATGACAGGGGACCTGCCATTTTTGCCACTTACAAAATCATCTAAGTAACCTTTCTCCATCACAATTGATAAAATGCAGAACTCAGTGTGCAAGTCCGCTCTTCCGAGCCCATCAGTCAATGTCCTTTTCACCTTACTGCCTCTCTCTGCTGTAACACACCAGACAGAGCTATCTGCCTTTGCCAAAGGGAAAAGTTTTTATACTGTCCTCCACACCCAAGAGATGGGAAAGAAATGTATGGCACAAGAGATGACAGGGACTCGGAATCGGGTGTCCTCCAATGCTCAGGCACGAGTTTGTGCTAACTATATAAAGGCTGGGCTGGGGTTGGCGATGCACACCTTTAGTCCCAGCACTCGGGAGGCAGAGGCAGGTGGATTTCTGAGTTCAAGGAAGGCCAAGGCTGTCTGGGAGCTAGGAGGTAGGGGTGGGGGGACACGCACTATAAAGGCTTAGGAAGAACACAAAGTCGGTAAATGAAAACAATGGAAGCAACTAGCTTAGTCGCAGCCAAGATGATGCCCAGAGGGACAAGTCTGGGTCTTTTCCTCTTCTCTTTTTGCAACACTGGGGACCAAGCACAGAGAAGCCTGTACGTGCTGGGTTAAGTGGTATGCAGACTACCACTGAGATACAATGCCTGCCTCCCCCACCGTCCCCCACCAACCCATGTCCAAGTTCTTTACCAGAGTTTCCCATCGAAAGATGTTACTGTAGAAGCAGATCCAGTTTTCTGAGAGGTAGAGTCGGCCCTGAAGAAGAATGTCTCTTTGGAGTGCACATGAGTAATCTGTGGAGGAAGCAGGATGTGGAAACTCAGAGGCAGGGGACATTTTCAGCAAACCAGTGTACAGTGAGCATGTCACCCATCCCTGCAGCACTGGGGGAGACCAGCCATGCGCTGTTGATTAGGTGTGCAAGCCACTTGGTCTGTCGATCAGAATAGTCCCTGACGTCTCATGATAAGGACACAGAGGAGATGAAGCACACTACTGGCTGGTGGCAGGATAATGAAAGAATATGCTAGCCAATGATGGACCAGGTTTAAAACAATTGAAAAGGCCAGTGCTGCCCAATTCATTTTCATCCTCTTACTAACTACCATGGCAGCAACTGGCTCCATGGAGGGGCCATTTGCAGAGGGAAGGATGCTTTTGAATCCCTCCTGGGTGGGCTCTCAAGGATGCATGCCACAGGCATGGTGCTTGATCCTAAAATCCGGGACTTGAGATGTCGCCTGGTACCAGATCGACCCGCTTGCTTGTGTTGGCTCTCAGCCTCTGGTCAGAGGCAGCCTCAGTACTCTCTCTGGAACTCCCAGACTTCCTGGTTGGCCCCCTCCCAGGTTACTAACTTACCAACAATGAGGCGCTCCGTGTCTGGAAGTTGCTTAAAGAGCTTTCTGAAGTCTTCATTTCTCTGCTTGTAAGTCGGGCTTAGCACCTGCAAGACAACAGCCAAGATTAGCAAGATGTGTCCACACGCTGCAGGATTAGAGATGGATGCTGGAGTGGAAAGGGGGAATGTTTACATGTTTGTTAGAAAGGCAGAGAGAGGCAGATCTCTTCCCATAGTCCCTGAGAGGCCCGGTTAAGAATGGACGTGGGGAAATAACATAGGATTTGGTCCTGAAAAACCCTCCATGCAGCATTGGTCAGTGAGAAATACGGGGTCCACATACATCCCAAGAAAAGAAAGCAAGGAAGGAAACCTTCCAGGGTCTTCTCAGGACCTAAGATGCCAGCTATCACCGCCCTGCTTCCTGTCAGCTCTACCTCGGCAGCAGAAAGGACCCGACAGCCATGCTAGAGCTCTCAGTGGGACTTTGAAGAGGATTGGACACCTCTCGAAATTTGTTATGACTAACTCAGTGAGCTAAAGACATGATGTTTTTTAAATCATAAAACATGGCACTAAGTAAAATTTAAAAATCCAGTAACAGACAGAAAAGAAAGGGAAAACACACGTTGTGAAGTTAAAAGTACATCAGGCACACACAGGCATGATACTTCCTTCCCTATTTGCAACAGACATCTACCAAACCAATGTACAATGAGGAAACCGAGGCAAGAGAAAAGCCCCGTGGCAGACCCCAAGATGAGTGTCCATTCTCCATAAGTCACAGATGCCAGGAGAGAACCAAGGACTTGTACAGTGTAGAGAAGCAGATCCTAAAACTGCTGGGCATCCTGTACTGCTCATTCCCACAGACTAACATAGCAAACCCCCTTGGAAATTCCCCCCAGCCAGTGCAATAGTCAGGAACTCTGCCCTTTCAGAGCATACAGTCTTAAAAGCTTTAAAAAATGAAGGGAAAAAAAGATGGGCGCCTACGGATGAAGGACACTCAAGGATGATACAGAGTATACAACCTGGGGAAAACCACACATGAGGACACGGGCACATCTGCATTCCACCGGCCATGTGCTGACCTACTTACACACACACTAGGCTGCTGACCCTCTGCCAGAGACACAGGCCTGAGGGACAGATTGTCCTGCTGGCAGTGACATGTGGTTCCTGGCCTCTTACCCTGTCACCCACTTCCCTGGGAATCCACAGGCACACAGCTGGTAGGGGATGGACCCTTCAACTGTTTGTGTGCCATCTTTCTATGAAGTTAAGTGGCCCACGTGGAAACAAAGTCCGGGAGTGATCACGTCTGAACCCGGTGCTGCCAGCCTCTGCTACAGCCTAACACTGACTAGAGGAAGAGGAACATGAAGGGAGTTAGAGGGGGAGAGAGGGAGGGAGGGAGGGAGGGAGGGAGGGAGGGAGGGAGGGAGGGAGGGAGAAAACTGTGTGGGTTCAGTTTGGGTTGATGCTCCAAGAGGGAGAGAACAGACAAGAGCTGAGGAAAACAAACTTCTCGTCAATCTGTCTATAACATGAATTTCAAGCTTTGGTTCTTGACTTAATTACATATGTCACATTAGAGGCCTAGCTACCTTCCCCAAAGTATACCACACTATCATATAATGTCAGACTTCCCAGATCACCTATATGAGCTTGAACCAGGTTTCTACACTGGTAGAGGAGGGTATCCAGAATCTTATCTATCTTACGATTTCTATGGCTAGAAAAGACTTTAGGCAAGCCAATGGTGGCACACACCTTTACTCCCAGCACTTGGGAGGCAGAGGCAGGCAGATCTCTGAGTGTGAGGCCAGCCTGGACTACAGAGCTGGTTCCATACAGCCAGAGCTACACAGAGAAACCCTGTCTCAAAAACAAAACTAAACAAAACCCAAATAAACGAAGACCTTAGATACAACAGTCCTCCAACAATCACTAAATACTGCACAAATGTCCAGCCCCTCAGGACAGAATCCGTGCACAGGAAACCCATGCTCGACAACCTGACTGACTGCTCTTATAGTCCTCATCGTATCTCACCTTCTGGACAACTGCCAGCACTCCACAGCAACCACACGTCCACCACATACGTCACCACACCTCAGCGCAGGGTAGATTTCATTACCCCGCTCCATACTTGTGGGAAAGGAGGCAGAGGTTAAGTAGCTGGCCTGAGGAATGTGGAGACCCAGTGGGAATGGAACATGAGTGTTATCCAACTGATAAAAAGAAAACCACAGGGCTTCCCTGCAACAGCACACTCGTGGGAGGAGACAGTCGCCTGCTTTGAGGCTCCCACTAGCTCTCACTTCCCTGGGTGAGTCTTTACAAAGTTCCTGCATGAGGAGCAGCCTACCAGGGGGGCCTCCAGTCCACTTCAGGGGCAACCGAGTATCAGGCATCAAGTAACCTGATGCCTAGAGTCCTCCTAGTTCCAATATTTCATCCTCTTCCCTGGGCTTCTACCAACCAATGAGAGAGTTCCAGGACCCACAGAGATGGGGGCACAGGAGACTAGGCACAATCTCCCAAAAGTGAGCAGGAAATGACAATAAGCTGTAGCGAGGGATAGGGAAAGTCTCCTTACTCTGCACTTGTACCTAGCTGTCCTTATTTCACTGTCTGTTGATGTAGATGGTAGGCCAGTTTCTCTGTGCTAAAGTAAAAAGACACATTGGGTGGGAATAATTGGCTTTCCATCCCATGCCCCTTCGATGCTGGAGAGCCTTTATCAGCCTGCACCCACTCCCTATGTACACGTAAAACATTCTCTTCCAACAGTGAGGCAAGGTTCAACTCTGCAAAATGGCCAAAGAATTCTGGCTCAAGGGTTGTCAAGTCTGAGGCTCTCAGCAGAGCCAAGTGTGGCATGAGCGAGCACACAGAATAGCCACAGAGACACAGAGAATTCAGGTTACACACTCACGGCTGGGATTTTCTCAGATCCATGCCAGCAGTAGCATTCCGCACCAACAGGTGCATCAGCAAGCCTCTTCAAGTACCACAGCAGAGACTGGCTGTCCAGTTCCAGCAGGAGGCTCCAGAGGACCCCAGACTCTGTCAGAGATTCCATCACCCCCAACAAATGTCCCAGCCAAGCGGCCCAGGTCCTTACGCTGATTCTCAGATTCCCTCGGAATGAAAACAGTGAGGCTTGCCTGGACTGAACACAAGGTGCTCTCTGGCTTCTGCAGAACCCTGGGTGGTGTCTTCTCCTCTCTTAACGCTGTGCTCCCAGCGCAAACTCTCACAAAGGAAAAGATACAATAAGCCCGGTTCTCAGAGCAGGCTGGCTGGCCAGTGTCCCACAGATGGACTCCGCTTCATCCTCCCCCCTGTCTTCAGTCTGGGGACAGCCCAGAGGGGGTGTGGTCAGGCAATACTCCCTGGTGGGTGCAGCCACTCAAGAGTCCAGTGAGGTCCAAAGACACAGATACAGCAGGCGCACAACACAGGCTGCCAGTTGCGGAAGGGCAGCCCCACGTGAACAAACTTTGCAGAGCAGGGCTACCCACAGCTGGGTCCAGAGGTCTATTTCCACCGGCTACTCACACTCGGGGTGACTCACAAGCGACTCTTCGGAAGCTCCAGAGAGGCCCATGATGGCCCAGATCTTTAGTCCAGACTGGCCCGTTTAGTCAACGCACTTTCTATCCCCCATCAGACGAGGACTGCGGTGACTCATGTCTCTCACCCAGGCAGAAGGGGTCACCACTTAGCTGCAGCATAGGGCGCTCTCCTCCCCACCCCTGCACACACCCCTTTTGCCTCCAGAAGGCACTCCTTTCAGCTGGCCAGCAAATGACTTCTTTGTTAAGAGTCACTGGGGCCTGAGGGAGGGGAGGAGGGAGGCAGGGCTGGTGGGCAGGCAAGGCCAGAGCCCCGCACATGCTTCAAGTTACAGGATCTGGGTGATGGGCCTGGCCAATGTCCTGCAGTAACCCCAGGCCTAGCTTGGCCTCAACCAGCAGATGTTTCCTGCAATGGAAAGTTGCTGGCCACGGCTCTCAGTGGAGGAAGAGAAGGGGAGGTGCCCAGGGCATCACTGCCCTGGTGAAATCGGAAATCTGAGACTGAATAGAGCAGGGGTTTCTTGAGAGACAGCTCTCCTCTGAGGAACCCGTCTATTCCGCAGCATCTCTGGTGTGACCACAGCGAATGTGAGATTCTCCAAATGTGGCTGGGCACAGAGAAGTCGGACAGACAGCCTGAAGAAGATGAGGCCAGCCTGAGGTGCTTTCCCAAGGACTAGGCCCCATCTTCCATACATAGAGGCATAGGATCAAAGCCAAGCAGACCCCCCCAGGCAAGCTGCTCAGACCTTGGGGGCAAAATAGAGCAGACCTTCTGGACCCTGGTGAGGAGGGAGGCAAGTCAAAGAGACAGCAGCCAGGCCCCTGGGGCAGAAAGGGCTCTAAAGTGGTTCTCATCCTGTGGGCCATGACCCCTCTGGGGGTTGAATGACCCTTTCACAGGGGCTGAAGGTCACATATTTATTTACATGACAACTCATAACAGCAGCAAAAATAACTTTACAGTTGGAGGTCATCACAACATGAGGAACTGTATTAAAGGGTCCCTGCATTAGGAAGGTTGAGGCCACTGCCCTAGACAGAGAGATAGACTCGGGGAGTAACCAGTGCTGGGAATGGTAAGGCGTGGACTCCCACGAGATCCTAGAAAGAAGCGAGGCAGCTCCCTCGCTCTTAGGCTTGGACTGATGCATCATGGGTAATGCTCCTTTGTCTTATAAACCTTAGTAGTATGGAACTTTCGCATATTTAAAAAAATGACTCCAGTGAGGCCAAAGAATACAGATTCCTGGGTCTCAGACCCAAAGACTCCAGTTAAGAGGAACATGACAGTCACTGTTAGGGTAGAGGGGAAAGAATCCTTGCCCAAGGCATCTTCTAATTCCCTCCTCTTTCCATCTTGAGGGACACCTGCCTTCATCCAGCCTAACTCCGGACGCCATCTTTCCCAGGAATGAGCTGCCCTTCAGTGCATTCTTCTCTAGCACTTAGTGTGCCATATACTGTATAAAAGGTATCTACCACACGAATGCATCCCCTGTCTCTCTACTGGCATCTTGTCACCACACCCCCACACCCCTACAGATCCCTAGGTCATAAGCCTGGTTTCTTGGAGCATACTCCCTGCGCTGACTCTACGCTAAGACCAGATTCTCTCTGCCTACGGTCCTCAAATTTTGCTGACAGGTGATTGCAGTAAGCCTGTTTTCCAGTGGGAACACAACACCTCTCTTCAGGCCCACACCACACCCATTATATAGGCAGTGCAGACAGTCCTTGGAGACTCTGGGAACTTAACTGAAATTCCCTGCAAACACTGGTATCTAGGCCACAGACACAGGACAGGTGAGATGGTGACATTCTGGACAAGACCGGGACAGTTTACAGCCAGAGAGATATCGCCACAGGAGATGAGTCTTAGTCTGCATTAGCCCTTGAATCCAACCCCCTCACCAAGGGCTGGGCAGGGCAGGGCCAGAGCTGCAGAAGCCGGAATTGGCTCTTAGCTAAACATTAACTCTACAGCAAACACTGGGTGCTGGGACCAACTGGTACCCTTTCTCCAGCCTCAGCAGGAAGGAGGGGGTGAGAAAGCCCAGGTTAAAAAAAAATAGATTTTGGTTCAGCATTGACCTCACCTAGGAAGAAACCAGTCACAAAGGAAATCCTGGTGCTTCAGCCAAATCCGGTAGGCAGAAGCCAGATGTGGGTGGGACGAGGAGACGAGGGGAGGCGACCAAACATGGGGTGGGCATGGGTGCAATGCAGAAGGGGGAGGAAAGGGTAGGACTGGGATGGGGGTCTCATCTGGAGAAGTCACACCACCACTGGAGTGAAGCGTGGCGCTGACGGTCACGAGGGTAACAGTCAGGGAGATTCTTCAAAGTCATGGGTAAAAATCGTTGGTGGGGACAGATGGACATAGAGGAAGGACAGTCCTTGGAGGAAATACCAGGCACTGGGTGTGTCATCTCTGCTACCCCCCAACACCTACATCCACTCCTACAAAGCTTTGTCCTACGGTTCTCGAACCGATGCCAGCTAGACTTGCCGTGTCATCCCCGGGATCGGCACCAATCCTCCTTCCCTTCTCAAAGCCAGCTTTCCTAAAAGAGGACAGTGTCAAACAATGTGGGTGCTGTCTCCAGCAGTTGCCCTATTCTAGGTTTTGTCCCTAAGTTGCTATGGAAACACTAACACCCCTGGAATGAGGCATAAGGCCGTTCCGCCAGGAACTCAGCAAGGCCAGTGCCTACTGGGACCAGGAAGGATCATGTTTAAAAGGCACAAGGTATCCCTCAGACTTCGGTCTGACCACCTTTATCTCCGACCACTGTTCCAAAAGCCATGTCAACTGATCCCTTAAGCTCCTGGGGCTGCACCTTTGTACTCCCAGGCTGGAGACGCTACTGAATCAAATGAATTAGTCAGCCCATGGTAATGAAGAGCAAGGACTGCAGGCAGTTGCACAGGACAGGGTCTTCGCACTCCACCCTGACTGAGATGCTCACCCTCCTCGGACTTTCCCCCACCTTGCTGGGGTCTAGCCACTTCCTTTCTTATGACTCACCCTGCAGGTCAGGCTAGTCTGTTATTTTGCTGACGGCTTCCCTTGGCCTGTTGTGGGACGATGAGCTTTTCTCTTCTGCAGACTGGTGGTCGTGAGGGTAGAGTGGCTTCCTCTTAAATTACACCCAGGCCCCTTGAGCAGGTCTCAGGGACTCCTATAGCGCTCAGCACTGTGCTGACCTTAGCCTGCCCCCAGGGCAGGGCATTATAAAGCTTTTGTCTGTCTAAAGGGATCCTAGTGCCAGGGACAGAACCTGAGGCATTGCAGCTGGTGAAATGACTCTAGAGGGGGAAAGAAAAGGACATTTACAGCCACCACACGAACAGGACACCAGGATTCTCTCTGAAGGTCAGATCCCAGCCGGCTGGCTAGCAGGGAGCAACAGAGGCGAAAGGTGAAGCAGGTCCTAACGACAACAGGCAGACTGAGAGCCTCGGAGGGGGAGCGCTGAGGGAGGGGTCAATCGAAGTTCCCCTGATGATGCATTTGAACACAAGTGTAAAAGGCACAGCCTCAGCACTCAGAGACAAAAGGGTACTTAGCCAGCCGGGGCCCAGCAAGTCCTACACAACCCTACACAGCAGGTGGCTCTCAGAGAAGGCAGGTCATAGATCCAAGTTCCAGCCAGGGCAACTGTGCCAATGTCCAGGGTAAATGTCCTGGCAGGGCCAGAGAGCACCCAAGGGAAACTTCTGCAGTGTCAAACAGACAGGCTAACTACACCAATAAGTGGCTCTGGGAAACTGAACCAGGGCACCTCTCTCGTCAGGCAGGGCGGAAGGACCCCATCCAACTAGCCTGTTTGGGTGCTGTATCCGCCTTGCCTCTCCACTACTGCAGCGACTCATCAACCTCTTCGGGAGCTACCTCTCGCACAGGAAATGCAGCAAGACGGGAGAGCGGAGGCTATGGACTGTGCGATCCCCATGCACGCCTCTTAGTAGCTGCAGCTAGGGAAGATTGGAAACTCTGCTTCTCATGCCCCGATGTCCACCTGCCACTTCTGCCTCCTCCTCCAGACTCCATCCTTTCTGCTTCCTGTACCAAGAGGCAGCAGCCCAGAGCAGGCAGAAAGGGATGTGTTGGTGGCCGTCCTGGAGGTGTGTCAAGTTCAACTGCAGACAGATGGTCCCTCCCACGCTCCAGCCAAGCGGCATGGCCTCCCAGCCTGCCATCATACTGAGTACTCAGATGTCACAGTTTCTCGGGATCAGGTTGAGGGAGGACAGGGAGATGGCGGGGGTGGGGGGAGTGGGACAGCTTAAAACTTGTAGCAATCAGGAAGAAACAGAAAGTCAGCCGGGTGACGGGAAAGCAGAGCAGAGGAGAGCGTGAAGAGGGAGGGAAAGGATGGTGGGTACAGACAGGGCAGAGAGCACGGAAGGGACAACAGTACAAGGGATGGGAAAGCAAGGAAAACAGCAGCAGCTGTGCGAAAAAACCATTTGAGAAAGGGAGGGATAAGAGCATAAGTCGCAACAAGGACAGGATTTATGTGTCCACATTTGGATGTTTTAATTGCCCAATACCACTGTGGCCATGTGCTTTCTGTTTCCCTCAGGCGACATTAATTTATGCAGTGCCACTCAAAAGGAGATTACCGGGTGGAGGATGCTGGGGTACTTGCAACAGCTGGGCCTGGACAGCTCCCACATACAGAGAGCTCCTCCCCCCAAGACACGAGTCGCAGATCAGCCTGAGGAGGCCAGAGGCCAGAAGACCCTTGGTGAGTCAGGGAGAAGGAAGAGGCAAGGGGAGGCGGAGCTCAGCTTCTCTTCCACCCACTGTCGTCTGAATCCTCGTAACAACAGGGGCCCTTTCGGGTGCTCTGTGGGGCTGTGGATGGTAGATCAATGAAAAGCACCTGGGATAGGCAGGCCCAGAGCAGCCAGGGGGAAGCCAGAGTGCTCTCTGACATGTGTCTAACCTTAAGGAGCCACTCATTATCATGTTGGAACACACACATGGTCCATAGGGGTTGGAACACATACATGGCCCATAGGGGGGATTTGAACCCACAGCCCCACATTAAACGCAAGCCTCTCCTTAGACTCTTCCGCTGCTCCCTCCCGCCCTGTCGTTTCGCCATCCCGGTAGCTTCTCCATGCCTCGGCTCCCACTGGAGCAGAAGGAGGTACAAGCGGAGATGAGCTGGGGTGGAGGAGGGGAGTGGTATTCTCAGCACAGACAGGCTCAAAGAGGGGGAGACAGGGTCTGAAGCCAGGCCATAGTGCCCAGCCACTCTTCCCACTGGGCAGTCGTCCCCCCCCCCCAGGCCATAGAACACGTGACCAGGGAAGGCTGAGAGATGACCTGGTCTGTGTGACAAGGAGAATGGGGTCTTCAGAGACTGCACACACCACAAAGCCTTGTCAGGGTCCAGCAACCATTAAGCCCTTCGTCAGGCACATTCTCTGGGGGACACTGGGTGTCTGCAACACATCCTGTCACATAGCAGAGTCTCTCTACTCCAGCTCCCCCAAGATGTCTTGGCTAGTGGATACCAACTTTGGCCTTCTGGCTCCCCTGACCCCAGATTTCTGTCTGGCACTGAAATAGTCACCTCCCGCCATGGCTGCTCCCTTACTTCATACAGGGCACTAGATGAGAAAAGCAAAGAGGCCAGTCATTTCTTCTGTCCCCAGATCAAATCCGCCTCCCCAGGACTTATTCATCCTGCTATAGATGGGGACTGCCGTATCTATTTTGGGACTGGCAAGGACCAAAACTCACAGAGAACCCAAATTGTACTTTACCCTTTTCCTGCCCACCTCAACCCTACCCACTGCACCCCACGCCACCCCCACACCCATTTTACTATTACCCACAATAAGAGAAACAGAAATACTTACATTGTACCAACTCTGGCTTTTCTGAAAAGACAAAAATAAAAAAGAGAACGAAGTTAGTTAGGGAAGAGATGTTGGGAGTGGCTAGAGTCTTCCTTCCCCCTGGGGTGAAGGTAACACAAACAGCAGAGGATGGCCAGGGAGAAGGAATCCAAATGCAGCTGAATGCTTCCCATGTCGATGCTCAGGAGGGTCCTCCTTTCGCAAGACAGTTCCAGAAAGAAGGCCCAGGGAGCAGTCCATGCTGGAAGCCCCGCCACAGCAGGGGCGGCTGGAGATGCAGGCAGTGGCAGCACTAGCTAGCGGTTGACCAGAAGGGAGTCAGAGCCCCATCCATCGCCATGTTCTACCGATGGGGGCGTGGGATGTGTGGTATCCAAAGCCTAGTCCCCAAGTGGGTTTTGACTAGAAGCAAAGTCTAGGTGGAGCCCAATACAGCCTTCTGCTCCAGGTCGCCTCTGGCAAAGGCAGGGTGGAATATTTTGGCGATAGGGGTAGGGGAAGAAGAGGCAGCCTAAAGTCACCCTATGCTCCTAACTGGCAGGTGAGTAAATTCTTCCCGTCTCAACAACTGGCTGACCTCCTGACAGCTAAGGGCAGAGGTTCGGCAGGGGAAGGAGAACTGTTGTCTCAGAAGGCATCTCCCAGCCCACGGTGTGACAACTCAGCATTCGCACACCACATCCTGTCCCAGCTCTACAGTCGAGGAATTCTCATTCCGATCTCCCCAAGGGATCTGAAATATTCTAATGAAAGACGATGAATGACTAGAGTGTGCCATGTCTGTTTCCAACCTGTAAGCATTCTGTGTGGATGTGAGAAACTTGACCAACAGGTCAAAGTCTCGATGTGATGCCAGAGGCATGGAGCCTGTGCACAGTTGGCAGCCTGGAGCTTCTGTCATCACTGCAGAACTGGGCAGTCACTGTGCCAGCTGGTGAGGGGTGCGTGTGTGTGTGCGTGTGCGTGTGTGTGTGTGAGTGTGTGCGTGTGTGAGTGTGTGCGTGTGTGCGTGTGTGTGAGTGTGTGTGTGTGAGTGTGTGTGTGTGCGTGTGTGTGCGTGTGTGCGTGTGTGCGTGTGAGTGTGTGTGTGTGTGTGTGCGAGTGTGTGAGTGTGTGTGTGAGTGTGTGTGTGTGAGTGTGTGTGTGAGTGTGTGTGTGCGTGTGTGTGTGAGTGTGTGTGTGTGTGAGTGTGTGTGTGTGAGTGTGTGTGTGAGTGTGTGTGTGTGTGAGTGTGTGTGTGTGTGTGTGTGTGTGTGTGTGTGTGTGTTGGGGGGGTGGAGATGACTAGGAACCAGGTTGTGAAGGACTGACTGTCTGACACCTTGGCCTCTACTTTGGTGGCCGGGACAGGCAGTGGAAGGGGATCAGGCATGAATGTGCTTCTCCCTTACACAGATTTCACTGACCAGCCTGCCCAGGGCAACAGGTAACAAGGCAGGCATTCAGTCCCCCTCTGCTAGGGGTTCTCTGTAGTCATTCCTCAAAACATGTCACTGGGGCCTAATCTAGATGGCACGGTCTTTTACACTAGGTCCCACCCCCTCCTCCAGTCCAGAAGTTGAAGGCCAAATCCACATATCCAAGACTACTTTATCACAGGGTGGGAATTGCCAGCTGGCAGGAAGGAATTCTGGACTTGAACATTCCCATCCTTCAGCAAAGGCTACATACAACATGCCTGGAGGAGAGTGGCTGGATCAAGAAAGTTGTATCTAATGGAACCTGCATTTCTACAGACTGTTTGAATGGTCACTGTGACATGGTTAACTGCGCATCATGGTGACAGCAAGCATACTCTTGCAGTCACCACCCAAACCATCCACAGTTATCCTGTGATACACCAGTCCTGACCCAAGCTAGTTGCCTGCATCACAGATGAGGAGAAGCTCTCAACTGCACCTAAGCACTTCATTCCTTGCAACGTTTGTCTACAACTCAAGAAGGAAAGGGGTGATGGGGAAAGGACCCTTTGTGATCCTCAGACACGGTGCCTGCCTTCTGCCCGTGCAGACAGAAGTAGATCTCTTTCTATGCATCATCAAGATGTTAGTCTCTTAAGAAACTACTTGAAACAAACAGCTTTCGAGGTCTCAAGAGCTTCAGTTAGAAATACCTGTCTCATCTCTACCAAGCTCCATGAAGCCTTTACATCTAACACGTGTTATCTTAGGAAGTGAGAGCCAGGAAGGAAGTCTAAGAACTGAAAGAAATGAGTAAGGTTTCCTCTAAAGGACTTTGGAGGCTGTGCCCGGACCACAGCTCTACACAGTGCCTTATCTGCCAGCACGGAGGGTGCCTCAGGGACATGTATACGAACATCTCCAGTGACATCCACATTAGCCCTCAAGACTGTCCAGCAGGAAGGAGTTCCTAGGGAAGAATTACACCCTCATGGCTGTGCATTCTTGAGCAGAGAGCTAAAGGGACCTCCTGGGAAGGAAGGGCCTCAGAGAAGCTTAAGGCTCAGGAGGGTGACAGGGGCACCAACAGGCAGGACAGAGAGACCGCCTACCATTGTAAATCCACTGCTGTGCACCTACCTGGGGCATAGGGCTAGAGGGCAGGAAGGCACAGAACTAAGAGGAGGTCGGGTTCTAAGAGCTTGTAACAGATGATTAAGGGGGTTGGGGGGGAGGGCAAAGATAGAGCTGTTGGCAGCAAGGTTAGAGCTGGAGGTGGAGGACTTGTTCCGTGTTTCTTCGGCCTTTCCTACAAGGAATCAGACAAGCAAGGACCGGATGGAATGCTAGGCTCCTGGAAACATACCCAAACTACCTTACAGCAGTTTCCTGTCCTCGCATCCAAAAGCATCTCCCGGAGCAAAGGCCCAAGGAGTCTGGAAGGTGGGCTGAGATGGGGCAGGGGAGAGTGAAGGGATATGGAGCCAGGAGCTCTACATTAAGCATAAGTTGGAAAGGAGGAGCAAAAAACAAAACAAAAAATAAGTCTTACTTTGATCAGATTAAGTTTGTCATACTGAAAAGAAAATCACAAAAATTAGAATTCAAACAAACAGGCAAACAAAACGGTGAAAGGTCACAGTAGCACCCGTGTCACAGCACTGGGCATTGCCAAGCACCAACAGAAAGCTAAGCTGCAAGGCAGAAGCCAAGGATTGAGTGGCCCTATCGACCTGGCAGGTCTGCAAGGGCTGAGCGAACGGCACTCCTGCGCTAGTGGGGGCAGGAAAGCGTGCCCTGGCTCCCTCTAGTGACCACAGGCCATCACTACCAAGTGCAACTCAATTGTGGCCCAAACACAGGGGTTTGTGAGGGCGCAGGTCAGCCCTGGGACCTAAGCAGAAGCAAGAATCAGCCTCAACCACTGAGATAATGATGGGGAAGGTAAAGCCTTAAAGATTCCCCTGTCCCGATCCTGTATCTAACAAATGAATACATGGAGGCCAGAAATGGAGAGAGACACTGCGTCTGCCGCCTCTCCCCACGCTGTGAAGGAGGCCTGCTTGAAAAACAGAGAGTGACCTCTTTGCAGGAGGTGGTCGGGGTGGCCCAGCTAGGACTGTAGCAAAAGCAGCTCTAGCTCACAGATTCTCTGCACAGCCACATCTGGCCACCTTGAAAGGGTGCTGTCCAGGGAAGATGCGTTAAAAGCTTTGGCCTTACCCCAGCAGCACTTCCTAGCAGTCCAAGAGCTGGCCCTGCATTGAACCCTCTTCCCATGATGCCTCTGGTATTAATGTTTTACAGTTGGTGTGCCTTGCACATGCCCGTTACGGGTTGAGCATAATTGCCCCCCGGTGCACTTGCACGGTGTGGTCCTCCCCATGTGAGTGAGTAGTCAGCAAGCATCGTGCTGCTCACTGAATAAATAAGAGACATACACTTCACCTTAGGACTGGAAAGACTAAAGACTCAGAGAAGATGTGGAGAGAAGGAATAACCTGATGGCCCCATCCAGCCAGATCCTCCTCACTCTTCCAGACGAGCCTCGGGCCCTCTAGTACACATTTCAGCTAAGGCAGAGGAGTGAGTGAGCACTCTGGCATAGAGACAAAAGGGCTTCTATAACTCCTGTCCCCAGATATCGGGCCTGCCTGAACCTGCCTAGCCTCCCACACCCAGAGAGGACTCCTGCTGGCTTCCCCACCCCAGGCTGACCTCCACTTGAAATCCTGAGAGCCCTTTGAGTGTGAAGGGCACAGTGGGCAGGCTCAGGTGTGGGGGCTTCGTGTTCTTCCACCAGGAATGGACAGTGCCCTGCCTTCCTCCGTGACGACACTCACAGATGCTGTTGTGAATCTTCCCTCGGCTTCTCCCAGACGCACTGCTTCCCCACGATGGATTTCCTGGGCACTGTTGTCTTACTACCAATTGCTCACCATTTACTCACTCCAGCTTCCCCTAGGACCTCAGAGATCCTGGGGGCCTAGGTAGATAAAGTCGGCACAACTCCCTCCCGCAAGCACAGACAGATCCAGAGCCTGGTGGGTATTGTCACATTCATCAACCTCCAGGTGCTGGCACTACACCCTCTTTGATCAAAACCCAGGGCTCTAAGTGAACCATGAATGAATTCCAGAGTGGTACAAGCAAGCAGTTAAGGGTATCCTGGCCGAGTAGCTCTCAGGATAGAGGGAAAGATGAACTGGACAGATCCCATGAGGTATTGCCAATGTCACCGTCCCTCTGCCAATGGTCCTTCCCGTCAGGCTCTCATCACTATGGCCAGAGAAGCTTACCCATTCAAGGGACCACAAGAAACAACAGTTTGACCGAGTGGATGCCCCCGGAATAGAACTACCCCCTGTAGGACTCTGCTTTAGAAAGTGCCACGCGAGGAGGGGAAACACATTCCCACTAGTGGTGGTGTTTGAGAAGCAGGCAGACACGGGATGGGGGTAGGGGGCAGGGTCTGTTCTCTGACATCAGGTGCAGTGGGAGTGGTCCCTCAGTGACTTCCAAGCCAGTCTGCCAAGGGATGGGGATGGGACACAGTGGGGTCGGCCCTTCTGGGAAAGGGACCAAGCAGGACATATGGGCAGAATTGGCAGGGGCGGAGGGAGGGGTGCTGAGCTGAGCACTACAGACAATTCAATACTAGAGGGGGGAGAGTAAAAAGACAGAGACAAAAGATGGCTTACTTTTGAGAGGCGCTTGTGAGACTAAGACCATGCATGCAGAGAAGGTTATTTGGGAAACAGTGGGGAGAAGAGGAAGAACAAGAAATCAAAAGACAAATTCAAGTGGGAAACCAGCTCCCAAGCCTCCCGGGGCGGGGGGGGGGGCTCCCCCTTTCTCATGCCCTGTAAGTCTGTTGGTTGATGAGCACCTGGGCAGAGGTGCCCCCTTGATTGCCAGAGGCCTGGGAATGGAAGGAGAGCTCTGGAGAAACGCAACCCCATGAGTCCTCTGCGCCAATCCTTGGACCAGGAGCCTGGGGGCTCAGGTGTACAGGTGCAGGAAGGAAAAGGCCAGGGACTATCCTTTCTGCGAGATGAGTAGGTTAGTATGGAGGTAAGCAGGGTGATGGGCAGATAGCTCTCTGGGAGGTTCCCTGAAACCTCTTTCTGACAACACAGTTGTCCCAAATAATGTCCCTTTACCAGTTCAAGGCACCATATTTAAAGAAGGTTTAGAAGGTTTAAGCAGATGATACCTACTTATCCCGAGAGCCCCCTCCGTATCTCAAGGGTCATATAATTCTTTAATTTCTACAGAGAGATGGGAAGTGGGGGGCATGTGGCTCAGAACACCCCCCCCCCCCGTGCTTAGATGGGAATCTATTCAACTAGGGTCTCCCCTGCCAGTCCTGACCTGACCTGATCTGACCTTATAGACACTGGGGCTGTTCGGTCACCGGAGTACCCAGTACCTTCCTGCAGTTAGCTAACAAGGAGTGCTGGATCTCCAGCACGGTCTGCTCACCTTGGAATTTTTACCACCACTCCGACCAGATTGTGAGGAGCAACTGCGTTGCACACCCTGCTCGGGGGTGGATGGGGACTTGTCCGAGGAGTGGTCTGAGCCCTTCTCCACCATGTTGTCTCCGTCCTGGTTCTGTGGTGTTGGCGAGCGGGACCGCTTCCGTAGGATGGGTGAGCAGGCCGGTGTGCTGCGGTTGGAGTTACTGGCAGTGCTGCAGGGGCAGATGGGAGACAGAGAATGAGGTGAGGAGGAGGAGGAGGAAGAGGAGGAGGAAGGACAGAAAGCTATCAATGATAGCAGGCCAGAGACCCATGCAAAGGACCCAGCCAGCTCAGGGAGCCCAGGCAACAGACTGAGGAGAAAACCAGAGACTAGGGACTCACTGTACTGTAATGCTGCTACTGGCCAGCAGGGAGCAGTAGTGCCAGTGTAGAAAGGGAAACGACTAGAAACCAGCAGGTAGTTGTTTTAATGTTCACCCACCCAGCCCGCGATCTCCCCATACCATCCAGTTTGAGCTTTTACTACAGGCAGAAAGCTATCAGGGAAAATAATTTAGACCCTGAAAGAATCATTGGCACTCCCTCAGTACCACCAGGTCATTTTATAAAGACTGTTTCAACACTTTTGTTCATGACGACAATCTCACTTTTCAAAGCATTCACATACATATTATTTCACAGACATGTCTTTTTGATTACATTGCTTTCTCTTGCACGTATGTGTGCGAGCGTGGATGTGTCACAGCATGCCTATGGAGGTCAGAGAGCAACTTGCTGAAGTCTCTCTCTCCCCCTCCTTCCACAGTGTGAGTCTGGGGAATGAACACGGGCCACTTGATTGGCAGTGAGCTCTTTAATCTACCTAGCCATCTCACCTTACCTCGAGTCTTAAGACATTCGACCAAGTCAACAATGGTAAATGCCACTACCCTTAAGTTTAAAAACGAAGACAAATGCCTGGCAGACAGAGGCGAGCGATCAAAGGACAGACTCACAATTCTCACCACTCTATTCATCTATGCTGCCATTCCGCTGGGGCAAAGCCCTGTTCTCATACCCCACCCTGACCCAAATTCATCTCTAGAAAGTTCCTTACACTCCCCACAGCACCAAATCCAGCTACACCTCGGCATACCGTCTGTTAATATAATCAGAATTGAAACTCGGCCAGTGTTTTCAATAGAGGTAAAGGGAAAAGCTGAATACATTTTGCTTTGTTTCGAAAGGACAAAATGAAAGAGACGAGCGGAAGGGGACGAGTACTCGGAAAGAAGCCGAGGGGTGGGAAGGAATGATGTGTTTGAGATTGCACAGCCAAGGAGCACGGTGGCCAAAGAGCACGGTGGTAGGAGCGGGCAGGACTTTGCCCACCTGCGCAGTAGCCAGACTGGATAAGCCAGGCGACCATCTCAGGAAACCGCATGCTGGCCTTGCCTCAGGAAGTACAGGGCAGTGACATTTGCATGAAGATCTGGCTGTGACCTCAGATGCCCCAACTGAAGGCATTCGCAATGATTGCCATGTCCTACCCTTGCTCAATACAGGAGAGAGGGTCTACCTGCCCAAGCAGTATCACTGGGGAGGGGAGAAAGTAGAGTAGGGACTAGCATTGAACCGTATTGAGAAACAGAGAGAGAAATATCGGGGGGAAAAGAGAAAACAAACGTATCTAGCAGGCCCAAGGTTTTACTTCATCTGAACACACAAGGTCCAATTAAAATCTTGTCTAAATGATTTGAAGAAGCCCGAAATGTCTCTCAGAGGAGGTTGTCCAACTTCTCTCCCCAACCTTTTTCTCTGACCGTCTAAACCCACTCAGTACTATGAACAGTGGGGAAAGAAAGTTACATTCATTCCTTCAATTCCAGAAATGGAGCCATGTGTCTGATGGAAGCAGACACCCCAGTCCTCTGGGAAAGCATGGAGGGGGGACCCGGGTGCACACCCATCCGAAAAAGCCTCCTTCTTCCTGGGACAATTCCAGCCTGTGTCCAAGTATCCAGGAGTGATATTCCTACCTACTCACCCCCAACAAAAGAAAAAGAAAAAAGAGGGAACACCTGTCCATCAGTCACAAGAGACCTTTCCATCTTCCTGAAACAAACTCCACTCTCATCCCATCTGATTCTAGACCATGAGTGCCTGCTCATGAGTGGCTGCTGGGAGCAAACTCGAGTAAAGGGCGGGAAAACAAACAAACAAACAAAATCAAAAGTATAAAAAACGGATGCCGGATATGGTACACAACGAGTAACATGAACGGAGCGAGTGGAGCGGTGTGGCTCTCACTACCAAGCTGAAGACCCAAGTATAAACCCCAGGATCCACAGGGTCGAAGGAGAGAACTGGCCGCATGCCTGCAAGTTGTATTCTGACCTCCGCACGAGCTCTACTACATGTGTGTGCACACACTACAGTGCACATACTACAGTGCACATGTGGAGATTAGAAGACACTTTAGGGAGTTAGTTCTCTCTTTCCACCAGGTGGGTCCCAGGAATCAAACTCAGGTCTTCAAGCTTGATGGTTAGTACCTTTGCCTCTAAGCCATCCCTCTGGTCCCTTGGCTCTTTTCATGTTACCCAAACTAGAATTTAGTTCCTCTTCAATTGTGTTCTTTACCTCTGTGGCTACTACTCTCCGACTTCAACCTGTCATTGGTAAGTCCCCTCTGCCACCAGCCCTACACACACTTACTAATCTGGCCCAACAATATCGTGCCCACTAAATATAGATGTCCTCTGAGTGCCTCAGCTCCCAAATATCTGGCCATCTTCCTCCAAGACCTCTGCCCATTTCTGGCCCTTTCCCGAAGATACCATCATTGCTCAGAAGTGGCACCTATCCCACCCCACCCCACTGCATCCTACTCTGTTTCCATAGCTCAATATCCCATCCCTGACCTGGGGTCCCACCTCCCATCCTTCCTTCCCTGACCTGGGGTCCCACCTCCCATCCTTCCTTCCCTGACCTGGGGTCCCACCTCAGGTTCTCAGCATGTATTGTCTGGACTTGTCCAACAGCTTTTGCTATCATTTGAGTGGTTCCTGAAAACACTGAGATAATGAGAGGTCATCAACCCTTCCATGCTTTGGCCCTGCTCCAGTCCTTCTCTATACAATAAGAAATCCCTGTAACCATAGTTCTGACCTAAGCAGAGTCACTGCTAAACCTGTTAAAAGACCAGCCATTGTCCTGTAGATTTGGACATGCTGCTAAGCAAATAAAACCAATTCCTACGCATTTTGTATAGCAGTCTACCTTTCTAGTTCTGTTGAGTGCCCTTATCCTGATCCTATGGGCAGTATTAACAGAATTGACATTACTCTTGGGGATGGGGCTCAAAAAGACCTTACACGAACTATAGGGAGGAAAACTAGCATTGGGTCAACAGACAAGACCACTGACCTGAATTCAGAAAGAGTCCTGTAGGTAACCGTTGGCCTTTAAGAAACCTGAGAAACAGGAGAGTTAGTACCTGGCCAAGGTTTTAGGACTGTGTGTGTAGCACTGTAGTGCCACAAATATTTATTGGCCACCTGGTATATGTTAAACATTCAAATTCACACAGGTGAATAAGAAAAGTTCTTTGTGCTAAGGACATTTACAGTGAGGTGGAGCTAGGCATGACCTCCTCTCATTGGAATATAAGCTGCAGGGGTGGGATCCAAGAAAGCGGAAGGAGGGAGAAAGGAAGAGAGGGAGGGAGGGAAGAGAGAGAAAGGGGAAAGAAAGGAAAGGATGGAAGGAAGGAAGGAAGGAAGAAAGAAAGAAAGAAAGAAAGAAAGAAAGAAAGAAAGAAAGAAAAGCTTTCCTTGAAAAACTGGGTTCAGAAAATGCACTAGGGTTAGGGTTATTCAGGTAAAGACACAGAAGTCAGGACAGAGCAGAAAGAAAAAAGAGAAAAGGAAAAATCAGCATGAAGAGAATGAAAGTCTTGAATAGCATGGAACACAGGGAGAGTGACAGGCCATACATCAAAGTTTTGAACTAACTAAGCTCAAGAGCATCCTGTAATCACCATGTCTCCATAACAACAGGTCCACTAAGACCACGCTGGCTGCCCCTAACCCAGGAAGATATTCCCTATTACCCACCTCTCCCATGTGTAAGACTGGCAACAAAGACTTTCACTCCTGTCCCAGTTACCTTGTGACAGAAAGTATGTCCTTAAGCTTGACCACAGCGTCTCATGCTATGTGTGGTCACAGCCTACTCCCTATACTTGGGTCTGGCTGCAATCCTTGAGCAATAGGGAAATACAGCAGGAGAACAAAGGATTTCTTTCTACAAAGTCACTCATTACAGGTTCTTCAACCTGTACCTCACACGCCCTGGTAACTGCACCACTTTTCCTGGCTTGCTGCCCCCATCCTTATTCCTAGTGAGGTCCTGCGGGCACAGGCAGACCTTGTCAGCACGCCAGCTCCCTGATCAGCCACCCGTGCATTTTTCAGAACTCCGAGCCAAGCGCAATGGTCAGCTGGTGTCCTTTATTCAAGTTTATGTGTTTGTCTTTATGAGAGATTGTTCCTGCTCCAGGTTATACCGGCCACTCTGCACGCCCTGTGCCTTCATCTTCTTGGATCACAGCCTCTATCCTTGGGATCTTGGGATCCCACCAGCCCCACAGATGTAGCTCATTCTTGATCAGATTCCCAAGCCCAGCCCTAAGCTTCCCTTAATGACAAAATGCTGCAATCCTCTCGCCACCAAGGAGCACTGGTATCTTTTAAAATGACTCTCTGATGTATTCCAGGGCACTGCCATCAGGAGAACATTACCCTTGAAATCTGGGCATTGTACCTCAAAGCAGCAGGGTAAGGCAAATCACCAATGTGTCAGGAGAGCAAGTCCAGCTTGAAGGCCCACTCAGCCATTTGCTTTCTGCGTTATGTTGCTTCTTGTGTCTCATTCTTTCTCATTTGAAGAGACTTAGCACAATGCCTGATGCATACCCAGTCCTAACAAACAGTTGAGTCACCAAAACAGGCACTAAACTCTCTTGGTCTCTTTCCTCAGTCTTTGGGTTAAGTGTAAAAGTTGTAAATGCTTCCAGACACTACTCATAGGGTGTGTGTAGGGGGGATCAGCAACACAAAGTGTGATTCCTAAAAGGTATAGAACCCCAGAATCCTGGTCTTGCCCACACACAATCTCGAGTTGATTATCGGGGCATCGTTTTCAGAATCCTCATCCTAAGTAAGTA